ATCCAGACTCGCCATAAGCCAACTCAGGTGGTATGGTGAAGATGGCATTTTCACCCTTCTTCATGGTTTTAATTCCTTCATCCCATCCCTTGATCACTTGTCCTGCAATTATTCAAACATTCATATAACCCAAAGAAACCAAACACACTCAATCATGACCCATGAAAACGCTCTAACTACACGGAAAACCATATTTCAAAAATAGCAGCTTCTATGTCTTCTTTCTTTCAATAAAAAATAGCAGTTATACAGAGCATTTCTATAATGACAAAGAATTGGCTATTCTTAAAAAGTTCAATACTTTGAAAAAGAAAATAAAGGTAAGTTGTTGCTAGTTTTGATAAAAACCCCATAATTTTGCTGGATGTGGTAGTTTCTAGTTTTTGAACGGAAGGTTCTTTTCATTCTTTTAAGCACAAATTTGGTTTCAGACGTACAGATTTCAAGTATTCAATCTACAAACTTAACAACATTGACAGTTTGTAACATCAAATAATTGAAAACAATGAGAAGGTGTAAATGAATCACCTTGTCCGAGATTGAACTTGAAAGGTGTCCCTCGATCACGGCTCGAATCGAATTTGGTTCCATCAACCAAAGTCCCAGTGTAATGAACTGCAAAATCGACACCAACACATCAACACCAGAAGCCTCAAACCCCATTATACCAACAACAAACACTCATCATCAAATTCAAACCACCTCACACACACAAACATACATATATATAAATATATATATATATATATATTTAATATGTATATACATTTATTATATACCTTCAACTTCGTCGCCTGAGCCCGGAGTGTCCCATCCTTCACCTTCTTTAACAAGCTTCTTCTTCAGGCCATTCTTACCAATCTCCTTTTCTTCACCAACCTTGGGGCTTGGGCTAATTGCGTCGTCCTCCACATCGGGAAGGTCCATGTCAGCGTCGTTGAGGTTGTTGGTGGCAGCAGGGAACTCGAAGTCGTCTTCCATGGCGAATTCTGAACCGAACTACAACGGACGTTTGTAATTGAAGGCTGTGTGAGAAATTAAATCAGACGGTGTGGCGTGAAATAGAGCAATGCAGACAATGCAGGGCTTCTTCTTATTGCGGAGAAGCAGCCACCTTGAGAATGGATTTTATAGAGAGAGAGAGAGAGAGAGAGAGAGAGAGAGAGTGTCTAGAGAGTTCTGAAACGTGATATGGTCAGGATGGTTCCAGAATTATCTCCATTTTTGACGAACTCTCGTTATATAGTTAGTCTCGAGAAAAAAAACAAATTCTTTATCTTTAAAAAAATAAAAATAAAATAAAAATTATGCACTTCTTTGTATTATTTAAGTATTTTTAATATAATCAAAAGTATGAAAATCCAATTGGCCATCGCATGAATCTATTGTGATTTTATTTATTTATTATTTATTATTTACTATTTACATTTAAATTTTCGAAGTTAAAAAAGAAATGAGTTTTTTTTACGCACACTATTAAGGCATCATGAGAATTCGAACATGTGACAAGTAATACATTTTTTTTTTCTTTCAATAAAGTAATTAATGCTACTATAAAAAATAAAATAAAAATCCGAGTGCATCTGCTTCAATAGATGTCAAATATTTTGCGATATACTGCAAAGTAATTGTATTTTCTTATTAAAAGTCTATACCAAGAGTTTAGAATCACCTTTTAACTTCCACTCCTGAGAATTTAAATTGAAGAGTCCACTTGAGTGTTTGACAAAAGAGGTGCAAATCCGATAGGAAAAGAATCACTGGCAATTAAATTTCCATGATGATTCTTTATTACAAAATCTACAGCAGCATTACCGGCAATATAAACAAAACCATCTAAATTACTTTTAAAATAATCATTTGCTAGTGGACTCTTTTTTATTTATTTTATTTATAATGCGAAAAGGAGAATTACAAGACCAAAACATGGCTGGCAAGTAGGTTCAAAGAGGTCGAAAAAGAAGAGCAACAAAAAGAGGGAGCCCGATCTTCTTCAGAAAGGAAGGGGACAACCCAAGGCCTAGATTAGCGAAGGCATCGACAATGAAGTTTGCTTCTTGGAAAACATGACAAAAAAGAATGGTATCACGAAAAAAGCTCAGGTGGCACACATCTTGAACTAACATATTGACAGACCATGGGATATAAGTTTTTTTTTTAGGACACAATCAATTACGACTTTATGGTGAGTGCGTTTACTAATCAGGAATTGGAATTCTCATCAGGAATTGAATTTCACCTATAGAGAATTCATGTATTTACTAAACATCAAGGAATTAAAAAGTAACTGGGGTCCACACAAATTAGGAATTGAAATCCTGATTTTGGAGGAATTCAAATCTTAGGTGGAAATGTGGTATTCTAATTCATGGAAAACTAACTCATTAGGAATTCATATTTTTTACCTATTATATCCTCACACAATTTTAAAAATTCCAAATTTGCCATATACTAACTCGACAACGAGGACATGTTAGTAATTAGTACCACTCCTACCTTAATTCGATATGGTTAATTTGACATTATTGTGCTGTGAAAATAATCGTTGTTAGATTTGTCGTGAGAGAAATCAGCTATAAGAGAAAACAGTTTGGCGTTTGGTAAACTTTTTGTTAAAAGTGTTGTTGGTATTAATTCCTGCATAATCAAAAAATGATTCCCGCATAATCATTAAACCTAGCGCCTCTTCGAAACTGATTCCCGCATAATCAAAATATGAAAGCACCTCATTAGCTGCTTTCCCTTATAACTTTCTCTCACATCAATTTTTAACAATAAGTGATTTTCTCGTAGTTTACCAAACGGGTTTGGCTTCCCAAATTTTTCTAAAAATCACTTATCACCCCAAATAAGTAATGTCAAACGGGCATTTAGGGCCAGTTTGGCTTTGCGGTGCTATAAAAATAATCACTGTTAGATTTGTCGTGAGAGAAATCAGCTGTGAAAGAAAGCAGTTTGGTATTTTGGTAAACTTTTTGTTAGAAATGCAGTGGGTTATTTTTGGAATTTTGAAAGTTTCATTAAACCCAGTGCCTCTTCAAAACTGATTCCTGCATAATCAAAAAATAAAAGCAGCTTATCACCAGCTTTCCCTAATTGCTTTCTCTCACAGCAATTATTCAAAATAAGTGATTTTATTATCTTTTACCAAATAGGTTGGGCTTTCAAAATAATCACTTATAGCCCCAAATAAGTCATGCCAAACGGGTACTTAGTAAACAACTTCAATAGAAACATAGAATCTAACTTTCCTCAATCTATATGGTTTAGTAAACAACTTCAATAGGAATCTAGAATCTAATTCTCCTCAATCCAACTCCTCCTCAAAATCTTCTTCCAGCCCCGGTGAACATGAGCAAGCCCATTACGTTTCTTTATTTTTTTAAAATTAATTATTTTATCTCAAAGTTTTCAACAAGTTATAAAAACATGTTCAAGGAGTAAAGGAGAAACTTGGCTAATGGAGATTTAATGCTAAAGTTGTCAAAGGACATTCCAAACTTGTGAAGTATATTGACAATATTCAAACAGACAAGTTAAAATTTATGTATGTATATTACAAAAAATAAAGATTTGCAATATATTTTTTTATACAAATAATATTCTATTTTAATATAATCTAAACTATGGGGAGGGGGATTAGAACTCGGGTGCTAAAGAGCACATTCTGTAACACCCTGACTCCAAATTAAATTCCCTATTCAAAGTATTTAATTCAATTAAATTTGAACTTACGAATTTACCCTTGGGGTAGGGGTATTTTGGTCATTTTCTTATCCGGAGAGAGTTTGGGGCAATGACTGGTATTTTTGGATAGATCGTACTGAGATGAGTCCGTAGGCACGTAGTGGGCTCGATTCGGAGTTGGAATGAGGAAGTTACGATTAAAACAAGTTCAGTGGCATAACCGTAATTTCCTTGAAGTTGGTTGATAAAAATATGGAAATTCCCTCTCCCTCTCACTCTCTCTCTCTCTCTCTCTGCGTGTAGAAACAGCCCCCTCCTCTGTTACTGTTCATCCAAACAGTATTTCATTCGCCATCCCCTCCTCTGTTACTGTTCATCCAAACAGTATTTCCTTCGCCATCTCCTCCACCGGCCACCAAACTTCATGATATTGGTGTAAAATTTACTGTATTCAAAATAATCTTGAACCAATTTAGCACTTTAACCACACCATAACACAAATTTGACAATTAAACAATAGAACAAGTAGAGATAAGACTTACTTGAATTAGTCATAATCAGATATACAAGATGATCTTTTCCTCTCAGTATTCCAAAATGTCAAGGCTTTCAATAGGACAAGCATACAGAATATGAACGTGTAAATATGAGAGCAAAGACCAAGCCTTTTATCCAAGTTGCTATACAACTGACTCTCCTATTAAGAGACAACTGCTAGCCAAAACGTGGAGATAATAGATGATATCCACCTCCTATAACAGTTATTCCATTTAATCATTATCTAAATAAAAGTCTCATAATATCTTAATTTAAATATAACCCTATTTATTATTTATATGACACCTCATAATAATGAAAAGGAAAACTCACAAAATATATGGAAAAACTTACAATTGGTACCAAAACGTCAAGCTTACTTCCCTCTTCCTATTTCGACCCTTCGCCGCCGCCACAGCTACCCGTGGTAGCTGGAAATTGCAAAAAAGTCGCCGGTTTTACCCATAACTTGAAGAAGCTCGTTCGGGTGATTCCGGAAACCAAATTCTTCGAACTTGGTACTCCGACCACGCATACGCAGCAGACGGGACCCTCTCAGGGTCAAGCAGTGTGGGACTACTTGTGAGTGGACTTTGTTTTCAAATCTTAAGTATGGTTTTATTGATGGAAAATATTGTATTATATTTTAAATGGTATATTGGATGTATTATATATTTGATCGTCGAATTTGATGTTCTTTTAAAGCTTTGGCAATATATTTTGAGTTTTGACATATTTGAGTATCTTGAGTATGTATGTATGGAATTTGAGAATTTCTACCTATATTGTCTATGTGTGGGGTACTTGGGTTGTTGAGTTGAGATTGTGGAAAAGTTTGAGTATAGAATGTCAGTTTGGAGGGCTATAAGCACTACCCTATGTACCTCCCCGGATTTGGAACTTGGATACGGAAACTTGAGATACTTGGAATTGTCGAAACCCGGGGCATCCTTGACGGGATGTTGCTGTAGACCCTTAATTGGGTAGTTTGCGCGCATAGGACTGGTTACAGGCATACGAGCTTTGAGAGTCTCGGTTGTACGTGCTGGCTGAGAGTTAGTCTCCCAGTTGGACGGCTCGTTCCCTAGCCACATGGTGAATTGATGAATTTTTTATGTGGACTCTGCCATGTGGACTAGTCAAACAATCCCTCGGTTGGATTGTTTCCCCGGTACAACTAGGTGTTGGTTATACTATATTATATATATCTCTTATATTATATATATAACTATTCCTTTGTTCTTGTTTCTCGGTGAGGATACTTCCTCGCCAGTCGTGCCAACGGGTACACTTTCAAGAGTTTAGTTTTGGGACTTATAAGTTTTGAATGGTGGGTTTGTAAAGTTTTCTTTATGGATTTCGGACTTGGCATCCGGTATGGGTTTGATTGACATATATATATATATATATATACTTGATTATGATGGTTTTGGAATGCATTTGGTTTTCTTGCATGGTTTCCTAAATGGTGGGGTTATATTATGTTGGTTTACACTGAACTGAACTTTATTTTTGTCCACTCACACTTTTCTGTTTTGCGCCCCCCAGCCAGTAGTTGACTGAGCTCCGAAGCTGAGCTGGATCGTGTGCTTCCGAATCTTGAGCCTTCGTAGGAACTCTTTCATCATTTTATTACCGTTGAACTTTGGTTTGGTTGTATTTGAAATTCTTAGATGTGCTCTGTTATCGCCCGCGTAGGGTTTGATTTGTGAGGCCGAAGGCCTTTGTTGTAAATTGTTTATTTGCTTTAAAGCATGCTGCTAGTTGGGATGTTAAACTGTGAATTTTGAGCAGGTTGAATTTTGGGAAATGTTCAATTTATAGGGGAGACTTTGCCAAATTTTTGGTAGAAAGTCTCGGTCTTTAGTATGTGGGCTCGACATCGGGGTGATGTCAGTAATAAGACGGGATTTGTCCTGGTTTCTATCACATTCGCTCTAGCCAACTTGGCTAAGCTCATACTTGCAAAGATGTGTAATATTAGAATAGCAAAACTTTTCGATCTCTGGTATTTAAATATGTTTATACCATATTTGACTGACCTATTACTCCACGACATGTGGAACTTAGGACCCATAAGAAGAGCCCACAAATCCTAACAAAACACTAAGGCCCATGAAGTACCATTGGTAGGAGGTGAGCTTTTGGCAACCTATCATGCCGATCACGCCAAAAGAAAGCACCTTACCAGTGATCTCTCACATGGACACATGGCACCCTCTCAGGAAATTTCCAGAGTCCCACATCGATACACAACTCGAAGTGCACACCCTCCAAGAGTCTATAAATAGAGGCACAAACCCCCAAAAGAAAGGTAATTGTTACATTCAACTACTTAACCATTACTTTGTCCAGATCACTATTCATTTCATCCTTAAACTAATTTAAGTATTGGAGAGCCTTCGGCCGATACTATATTGGTGCCTAAGGACCCACCATTTGCTCTTTGTCTTGCAGATCATCCCATTTGCTGAAAAGCTCATAAAGCCAAAACTAATATCATATTTAAGTTGGGCCCAAAAGTGATCATCTATTTTTGTGCATCAATAAAATCCATCCTATTTTCAGTGTCATATCCCCCATTCTAATTCCCAAACTCATAAAATCATCCATCTCTTGTGGTCAAAGTGGCATTGGCAGCAAAAAAAAAATTCCAAAAAATTAACAATTGGTTTAAAAAGATTTCGTCAGCTGCCTAGTTTACTATGCGCCCCACGCGCAACAATCTTCTTTCTTCCTTTTTTTGTCCGTTCATCTCTGTCTGCTGGAAACTACCGTTTGCTATGGTTTTCGGCCTTGCGCTTCTTAGGTACTGATCGGTTGCTAGTTTTTCCTTCTCTGATCATTGAGGAAGGATCACCTGGTGCTTTTCCGAAGAACTACCGCTTGACAAAGACAGTGCGAGCCTCAGAGGATCTTGCTCCTGAGCGAGATTTGGAGTCCAATTTCAGTCCTACTTCAACGCCGCACTATAAACAAGGTCTAACTCTTTTCCTGGTGTTGGCTTGGAGTTTGGCACAGGAAGTTTTATGGATAAACTGTTGGGTAAGGGGAATTTAGGTTCAAATGTGGGTATTGATGTTAGTTGTCTTGATGATGCTTATGAGGACCTAAATGATGATGAAGATGTGGTGATTTCTCGTGGTGAGCGAGGGCCTTGTATTCAATTCTCAGATAGGGCTATGGATCATTTGTGTAAACCTTGGAAAAATGCTTTGATAATTAAATCGTTGGGTCGATCGCACACTTATAATTATCTGAAAGCTTGGTTGCAACAAAAATGGAGCCTAAATGGGGATTGGAAATTGGTTGATTTAGTTAATGACTATTTTGTGGTGAAGTTTGATATAGAGGAGGACCTGAATTTTGTCTTGACTAGTGGCCCTTGGATCATAGTTAGGCAATACTAAGTAATGCAAAAATAGTGACCTGGGTTTTTTCCTACTACTGCGCATATTACTCGTATGGCAGTTTGGTTGCGAGTTTTTGTTATATAACTTGAATCCAGTTAAAATCATCTTTACTGCTGCTAGAGAGTGGGTGCATGTTTCTTTTGCTTATGTTAAGGGTGCTGCTAAAGTTCAGGGTTTTCTCTCTTGGGAAACTCCTCATGTAGGCTAATTTAAATTGAATGTGGATGGCTCTAGAAGACGCACTTTTAGCTGCATTGGTGCTGGAGGTGTTATTCAGAACTCGATGGGAGATTGGGTGAGTGGCTTCTCTGTCAATCTAGGGAAAGGCTAGATTCTTGAAGCTGAAGTCAGGGGGTTTTATTTTGGTATGAGGTTAGCTATTGATAAGGGTTTTCAAGATATTGTTGTTGAAATGGATGCTGCTATAGCTGTTCTTCTTATTTAGAAAACAGATTTACTTGGCTATTACCCTCTTGCAACTCTATTACTATGTTGTTGTTATTTGATGGGCCATTTTGGTAGTTGTTCTCTCCAACATATATACAGGGAAAAGAAAGGAGTGGCGGATTCCCTAGCTAATTGGAGTTACAATATGGATCTTGGTCTGTGCATTTTTGCTTCTGCTCCCTCTTGGCTTGGTTCGAAGATTGTTGAAGATTTGTTAGGAGTTGCTAAGGTTCGTTTGGTTTGTCTAAACCATTATGAGTAGTTTGTCTTTGGGGTTTTCCCCCCCTTGTTAGTGGCACTGGCAGTGGAGCATGAATTCTTTGGACTTTGTCACTTCAAAATTATCGACTAATCGCAAAATTGTTACTTTAATACCAACATAAATTTATAAAGTTTTAAATTGCCTTCTATTTCTTCTTTATTTGTTTTATTAAGGCAATCTCCAGTCATAGGGCTAAATGTAGTCAAAGACTATAAATTTAGCCCTCTAAAATATAAATTTTTTTTAAAGAATAGTGCATGGCTAAATTTTTCTATCTCCAGTCCATGCATGACTATATTTTAGGGCATTTTATATTTTATTATTTTGAGAAAAACTATGGTACAACACTTATATATTCCACAACTATGTATTGTTTAATTTAATTAAACTACGATTTAGAGACAATATTTTTAAATAAAATGAATTCAAAACATTTAAAAAGGTTTTAAATAAATAAATAAATAATAATTTTCAATCAATGGTTCTAACCTCCAACGATCAGGAACCAATTATATATATATATATATATATATAAACAAAATGAATTTAAAAATATTTAAAAATGTTATTAAAAATAAATAAAAAAACCTAACGACTAGCTGACGTCATTGATGATGTCAACGCGCCTTTAATATTGGCTATTGGATTTGCAATTGCACGAGATGTTTCGTGCTCTTACCCAGGCATAATACTTTCTTTTTTTGGAAAGCACATGAGCTAGGCCCATAAAAAAATTTGGGATAGGCCAAAGTTGAGCTACATTTGGCCTAGTTAGAGGGTTAAAAGCCAAATGTGGCCCTCCAAATTTAGCCAAATTCTTTTTTAGCCTATAGCTGGAGATGAGTTTTGCATTATTTTAACGCTATATTTGGCTTATGGCCCATAGCTGGAGATGACCTTGAGATAAATTGACTAACGTTTTAGTTCAGAGGTTAATTTACTCTAAAATTACTCTAAAATTAAATAAATGAAAGAGAAAGAAAGAGAAGAAGAGGAGATTTTTCACAGGAGCGAAGTCTCTGCACGTGCCAAGAGGCAGCTAGAGGAAGCGGCTCCGTGTTTTGGCACAAATTCATCATCTGCGTCCTTTCTTTTCTTTTCTTTCACTGCCGCCAAAATTCAAACACTCTTCGTAGTCACACAAAATGTACTTCGACGACTCACAGTCACAGCATCTCCTCCGAGACTACAATGAAAATGAAGAAGAAGAAGCTTCGAATTCGGTTGTGTCACCGAGAACGTGCTCAGAGGGCCACAGATCCACGCTCTTGCTCCGAACCAAGCAAGGCGGCTCTATCTGCTTGCTCTGCTTCTCCAACCTCGTCTCCAACCCCGAATCCCCCACCGTCCACGTGTCCTACGCCCTCTCTCAGCTCTCTCAGGCCATCTCCTCCGACCCCCCCTTCCTCCGCTCTCTTGTCGACTTCCATCCTCACTTCCTCGTCTCGCCTCTCGTTCATGCTCTCTCTTCCTTCGACGACGACCCCATCGCACGACAAGTCGTCCATCTCATTTCCGTTCTCTGCGAATCTTCCGGTGCCTCGATCTCTGCTGACTTCGTCGCTAGGGTTTCCGACCGCCTCTCTTCTGGTGCCTTGGCCTGGAGTCGCCGTCAGCTTTATACGGTATTTCCATCATCCGCATCTCTCCATTCTCTCTTTGTTTGTCTGTGAATTCTGGAATTGCTGTTGAGACTTAGATAAAATTTTCCGGTTGTGATTTGTTTTCTGTTTGCTTCCTGAGAGAATGATTTGTGTTTCTCGGTAGCGAAACTGTGTATGACTTGTTACGGTCCGACGAATGTGGAGAAATCGAGCTTGATTCTTCTACTGTTTCTCATATTAAAACTCTTGCGTGTTTGTGAATTTACATATCAATTTTCAGATTTAGATATATATTTTGGGTAATTTCTGTTTCCTTCCTGAGATTATGAAGGAAAATGATAAATTCTGTAATTTTTCGGTAATCAAACAGTATGAGATTGGTTAGGGGTTAGAAATTGGGTGGATGAATCTCGTGAAATCGAACTTGATTCTACTGTTTCTCATCGATCGGTTATTAATCGAACTTGATAATCATATGCAGGCAGGATAGCTTGGTTAGTTTTGGTTTCTCATGGTACAACAATACTATAGTTGAAGGATTGTTAACTAAAACCTGAAATTGTCTTATTTATATTCATATACAGAATAGGATGAGTTAGTGTTGGTTGAGATCCTTGAATAGTTTGTCCTGTGTCTTTAAAATTAGATTTCTCTACTCTATGAGTCAAAATAAAATTTGAGCGGGCAAGTTAGGGTGATCAGATTTCTGACTTCAAGCCCTCACATGTGACATGACTTTGAAGCTCAGTAAGGGGGTAACTCAACTTTTAGTATACCTGAACTGAAACTTTCCGATCCTTGTATTTTGGTTACTTTTTGGCCTTTTATATTAAATTTGTGCATCATGACTTTGTTCATATGCAAGTTTAATGGCTATGGTTTAGAGTCTACAAGGAAGTCTCAACGATGATAAGCATCTGTGCACCCACTGGCTTCTACTAACGAAACGTTTTTCAACAATATCTTTAAGACTTACATATTATTGATCTCAAAACCTATATATCCCTGCTAACAATTCTGCCAATCTTTGAGTGCAGCTTCACTGCTTAGGGGTTTTGTTAAACTGCCAGAAGAATAATCCTTATGCTCACATTAGAGACAAATATGGTCTCATTACCAATCTTGTTGAAGGTCTTCAATTGCCAAGGTAACAAATAAAGAAAACTGATAATATAATATGTTCCTTTTTCCATGCATTTACCACATTATAACTAAAATCCTCTATTTTATTCCTTTAACACAGTGAAGAGATTCGGGGAGAAATCCTGTTTGTTTTATACAAGGTATCTGTTCTCCAATACGCATCAGAGGTTGGTGATGGAACTGATTTTTTATTTGCCTTTTGCCCCAAGCTATTGCGCTTGTCTCTAGAGGCCCTCATGAAGACCCAAAGCGATGATGTCCGCTTGAATTGTGTAGGTCAGTATTCCACTTCTTGAATTGGGTCCATTTTCCCTTATTTGAAGCACAGCTCAGCAATATATGACTAGCATTTTGGTCAGCTTGTAATACCCCATGAATTTCTATTTATTAAATGTTTCAAAGTAGACATCAAGCCCGCAAACGAACTCCCTGACTACACCACAATTGTTTCTTATTGATGTCAGACCATATTTTAACTTTGAAGGTGAAGGTCCTTGCAATTTCTCTCATCAATTGTTGGATCGGATCAGTTAGTTTGAATGATTGTACAACAATGCCATCAATTTGTTCATATCTCATGACAAGATACTTTGCATCTTAAGTTTATTTAGAATCAAAAGATAAAAATGTTGCAGCTCCAAGTGCTTGAGTTCTTGACTACAGAACTTACTGCCTGTAGCGGAAACAATTATAATTTTAAACCTTTCAGGTAATATATAACTCTTTGGGGAAGTGATCCTGACACAGAATGGAATTCTCCCCATTTTACATGCACATTCCCTCATTGGTATTAGTCCTGTCTTCTCTCAACTAACAATTTCCATATTACTTGTGCAGCATTCTTGACGGTGTTGGCTCTGAGAGGGCTTTTCGGGGCTGCATATGCAGTTGATTTAAACAGCATGAGTTCATCCGAAGGAGATAGCTTTGAGCAAGCAACAGAAGATGGAAAAGATGCGAATCCAATGAATATATTGTTTATGGAAGCCATCAAAGGCCCAATGCTTTCAACAGACAGCCAAGTCCAGATCAGCACACTTGATTTACTGTTTCATTACATGTCCTCCTGGGAAGGCACTTCAGGCAAAGAAGCCCAATTCCTAGTGGAAGAGAACATTGCAGATTATGTATTTGAAATACTAAGATTGTCAGGTTGGTAAAGTTTCAGTGCCAAATAGAACAATAACAGCTATCTGCTTAATATTTTTTGAGTATTGCCAAAAATCAGGAAAACAGAAACTGTGCTGTTTAAGTAAGGAGTCAACAATTATCATTATTCAGAAGTATTTATTGAATTTCTACAAATTTTGCAGTGTCCTAGTGTAGATTGCTTAAGCTTTTTAATTTTTATTTTTTATGACTGTATTATCAAGGTCAAACCCTCAGAAAGTCCAACTTCATGAACCCAAGAATAAAAGAGCTAATAAGCTTTGTTGATGAACAGAATGCAAGGATCCAGTGGTCAAATCTTGTGTTCAGGTACTTGACATTTTATCAAAAGCTGAGCAAGCTTTCAAACAGAGGCTTGTTGTTGGGTTTGCAACTTTGGTTCCAGTACTAAATTATGTAGCTGACATTCCTTTCCATCCAGTTCAAAATCAGACATTAAAACTCATTCTGAACTGCATATCTGATTGCCCTGGAATGGTATCCTCCTCTCATATAACAGAGTTAGTACCTGTTCTAGCAAAGATGCTTAAAAAACATTCTGATGGGGAGATAGGCATGCTTGAGGAGACATTTATATTGACCTGCTCCGTTGTTGTAGCTATCGTCAGAACTCCATCTGTTCATGGGAATTTGAATCTACAAATTTCAATTAAAGAAGCAATGCAACATGCTGTATCAGCTTGTCTAAGTATCTCGGAGAAGAATCCTTGTAAACTTTTGCATTCCTTGTTCCTACTTAAGGAGGTGTATAATATTTATAGTCGTGAAGGAAATTCTACTGACTCCACTAAAGCGGAACTACGACAATTTATTGTGAATGTATGTACAAAACATTTGTTACCTTGGCTTGGAACCAACTTCAATGAAATGGATGAGGAAACTGTCCTTGGAGTATTGGAAACATTTCATTCGATACTGCTTCAGGATTCCAATAATCAGGCAGCAGAACTCGCAGAGAACCTAGTTTCGAGCAGTTGGTTCAGTTTGTCTTTTGGATGCCTGGGTTTATTTCCCACAGAAAAGATGAAATGGAGGGTGTATCTGATGCTCAGTTCACTGGTAGATGTTCTTGTGGGAAATGATTCTGGGCAACCTATTAGAGATGCTACTTTATGTCTCCCATCTGATCCCATTGATTTGCTCTTTCTACTTGGGCAAAAGAACTCCCGTAATCTGGAATTATCTTCTTGCCAATCTGCCATTTTGCTGATTTTATACACCAGTTCTTTATATGATGAAAGGTAATTGAGATTTTGATTTCTAGTTTCATTCGTTTTGCTATTTTTTTGCAGTACATTTAACAATTACGACCTACTTTTCTTCAAAACTTTAATACTTCGCTCTCCAGACTTGCAGATGATAAGTTGGTTTTAGCTTCTCTAGAGCAATATATTCTGGTCAACAGTAGTGATCTCCAAGCTGGATCCACTGATCCATCTACATTGATGAGGCTGGTTTATCTTTATGGTCTTTATAGGGGTCTCGCCAAGGTTAGCTACCAAATCCCCTACAGTCCAGAAGCTGAGAGAATCCTGTTCAAGATATTAAATGAAAACGAATGGGATTTGCCTTCTGCAAGAATTCATCCTATATCATTGAAGTGGTTGTTTCAACAAGAGAAGCTCAGCACTCCACTGTCATATCAGCTTCTGAAATTTTGTGGAAAGAATATAGGAAATGGCATCATTGTCCATGGAAAGAATAGTCATATGGTAAATATTAGTTCAATTGCAGAATTAATAGCAGGAGGAGATAATCATGGAGCAACACTTTTGGTGTCCTTATTGACACAACTTCTCGAGAAAGAAGGGCATGAGCATGACATAATTTCTGTAGTGCATCTCGTGGGAACTATTATAGATATATTTCCAATTGCTTCTGACCAGTTATGCTTGCATGGTATTGGGAGTGCTCTCCGGAATCTTTTCTGCGAATCAACTTATACACAGTCCCCACAGATATCCACACCCGTTTTAGTTTTAATTTTCAAAATTTTATGCTCAGTGCACCATGGAACCCTTTCTGATGATGAATGTTGGCTTGCAGTGACTATGAAGGTGACTTACTTAATTTTTGTGATTCCAGTTTACTTGCTGCCACAGGAATTTAATGAGACAGTTTGTCTTCTTTTGTAGTTGATAAATATTATCACCACAAGAGCTGCAGACGGGTGGAATCAAGAATGTCTCATAGTAACTGGCATTCTTTGTTTAATTTTGCACCATTCTTCCAATGAAGTGCTCATAGCACCTTCGAAAGCCATTATTTTGAGCACTTCTCTAGTCTCTACAATCAACAGCACAATTCATGAAGCATGTCTAAAAGGACCAGCATTGGTTGACCACGATGAGGAAACAAGCTCTGGAGAAGTTTTAATATTTGTGCTTCTACTAAACTTCTTCTCCTTAAGAAGGTTAGTTCCTCGTATTTCTTCCCTTTAAGAAGGGTAAAATTTAGCCATACAACTGAATTTTGCTTTTGAAACTAACTGTTTTTTTTTTCTTTTCTCTTTCTTCCATTTCCTCCAGTTTGCACACTGTTTTACCAGGGATTGTGGACTGGAAAAATTTCTTTGATCCCCGAGATAGGTTACAGCCGATTTCCTTTATCCGGATATTCTGCCATGACCTATGCAGACTAGTACATTTTGGATCACCTTTGGTCAAACTTGTTGCCTCATACTGCCTATTGGAGTTGTTTACCCGAATATCTGATCAGAGGAATAGAACAGGGGAGGAGTTGGTATGCACCATGGACTACCTAATGTCTGTAATGGCTGTCCTGGAAGGCTTAATTTTCTACAGTGACCTCAGAGTGGCTACGAATTGTGGCCTTTGCCTATCAATGATCTTGGGTTGGGGATTGCCGGGAATGCAAGGAACAATTGTGATTACAAAGAATCATTGGAGTAGGATGATTGTGGAAGAGCTGGCAATGTCTTTAGCAGTCCCATGCTTAGCATCAAAATCTTTCATTAATCTTCACAAGCCTGCAATTCATGTAGCAGTCACATTGTTAAAGCTGCCGAAGGTTCCTGAGTGGATGAGATCGGTGTTTGATGATTCTTGCATATCTGGCATCATTCAAAACTTTGCAGCAAATAATTTGAGCACAGAGATTGTACTTTTATTTCGAGCTCTATTGGACTCCGAGTACTTAAAGGCGGAACAAATTTGTAGTGTAAATCAGCTGCTCCAGGTGATCATTCCTATGTCATGCACTTTTCTGTTCTGTTGGTTTTGTTCGTGTTCTTTAATGGACTAAAATGATGCTTCCTTTTTTAATACTTCAAACATGAAAATGAGTCATTATACTTCTGCCAAGTTTGTTTTAGAATGAACACTGGCTGATGGATTTTCCTAAAATTTTAGCCTTGGTCATTTGAAGCAGCATATTAAAAAGAGAGATAATGCAGTTATTTTACACATTTCAGGCCTGCAGAAAACAGAAGTACACTGACAACAGTCAAGATGAAAGTGCAAAAGAGCATAAAAAAAAGGCAGTCGCCATCCTGGACGACATGGGAGAAGGTTGTGAGTATCTCATTCACTTGATGTCATCTGAGTCTTGTCTAGACAGGGATTCTGGGGGATTAAATTTCGGGGATAAGAGATTGTTAGAAGAAATAGAGCTTTTCTTTAAAACTTCAACAGTAACAGAGGGCAGCTAAGAAAATCATATATATGAGTTTAATTTTCTTTGTTGAATTCTTCCTTCCTCATTTCATTAAAGGCTGTGCACAGAGTGAGACACCAGTAGTTATGTACAGGTGCTTCCCATTTTGATCATTAACTGTTTTGCTTCAATTTACTTTCATTGATCACAACAAAAATATTCAAATTCCAAATAATAATAAAAACTTAAATTATTAAAACCATGTTTACGTTCTGTAGCAAAAAAAAAAGGAAAAAAAAAGTATTGAGTCATACATGAGTCAATTTAGTTTTTTGAACAGTAGCTAGCTAAGTGTGGCTAGATAGGAGAGAGAAATGAGGCTAGTCAAATCCTTCCATTGTACAACTTTTGAAGTATAAGTGGGTTTTAATTTAGAAAAAATAAATTGAATATTCAAGTTTATCAAAAATCCAACTTTGACTAAGCGATTAGCTATAAAAGTGGCTAGATAAATTGAAAAAATAAAGTGGGTTTTAAATCATAAATAAATAAATAAACCTTATGTGTCATTTGAAGTCAAAGTTGAAAGTTTGGCTGGCATTCCTGGAGATGCTCTTACCACATGAATCATAATCAGTATTGAGCAATTTGAGTGCCCTTTCAAATGAAAATGGCGTAATTTTACCTCTTAACATCAATTATGCACAAGTGATTTGTCAAAAGAGGCTTCTCCTCTTGGTAGATAACTAGATTCGTGACAATTTTTTATTTTCTTTTGTGTCATTAGAGAGGAGGAAATGAACTAGCTCTTAGTCTAGTAGTAATTCGCTTGTCAATCACAAAAATTAACTTCCTTGGCCAAGTTTGACTCCCCATTCTAGTTTTCGTAAGTTTTTTTCAGTGAATTGTGGAGTTTTATTGAAAGAGAAACATTATAATGAGTGTTAAGCAGGCCTATTTTTTGTTGTTGCCTTGATCCTAAGAATTTTAAGACCGGTTTTGCTTATCATTGTTGGAAGAGATCTTCCGTTTGAATTATCTCACCTAGGGGTGCAAGTTGGATTGAAAAATCCAATTCCGTTCCAAAAATTTCTGATTTTGGAAAGTCTAAATCAATTCCGACATCTGAAAATTCTGATAAAAATTGGATTGGAATTTGAATGTATTTAGAGATTCCGAAAATTTTCAAATTCTGAAATAATTGGGGTTTCAAGCTTAGACTGCACACAATTACTAATTTTATGTTGAACTAAATATAATTTGATGACCAAATAGAGATAGACAAGTTATTTCTTAAAGGATAATAATATCTAAGTGCTAGCATATCATAGTTTGGTCTCTAATCCTAGACAGACTATTTGTGTGTCAGCGTTTAAGTCGGCTCTTGTTGGTAATACGGGGAATGCTAAGACCCAACTTCTTTTGGCTTGGGACCCTCCTGAGGTTGGCAAGTTTAAGCTTAATGTGGATGGCTCTAGGAAGACAACTTCAGGTTTTATTGGAGCAGGGGGAGTTTGTAGAGATTTTCATGGAGACTGGATCTCTGGGTTTGCTGTTAATCGAGGAAAAGGCCAAATTCTTGAGGAAGAAGTTAGGGGGCTCTTCTTTGGTCTGCAACTGGCCTTGGGAAAAAGGTATTAGGGATTTAATCATTGAAATGGACTCCGCTGTCGCTGTGAACCTTTGCCTGCAGCCTTCTCTACTTGGTTTGCACCCTTTGGCAGCCTTGGTTGATAGCCTCTGTGAACTGATGAGAAAAATTGGTGATTGCACCCTCACGCATGCGTATAGAGAGAAGAATGGAGTTGCTGACTGCTTTGCCAGATGGAGCTATAACTTGGATAAAATCTACACAACATAATTTAATATATCATTGTAATTGGCAATCTACCACAACGGTTATATAACACCGGTGACGGCTATTTGATGTTCCATCATAGTGATAATACTGAAGAAATTAAAAATAGCAAACACATTTAAATGTTGAAATAATACATATCCACTGAATCAAGCACAATCTAACAATGCAGTACGTACAAAAGCAAAAGAGATTCTCTACTCTAGTAGGAAATGGCATTGGGGTGGCCAAGTAAGACAAGGCTCTCTACAAAAAAATCCATTATGTCCCCTCGATGAGTTTTCTGGCTCTCCCCATTGCCAAGGTTCTTCAGTGGAGGTGGAGGTAGAGTTTTACGGATATCAAGCATAAACACATGTTCGTGATAGAAGTTAAAACCAAGAGAGAGTAAAAAATACTCTGCCATTGAATAAGTATACAATTTGGTCCAGGATTCCACTACACCATACTCTTCCATGACCCACAAGTGAAGTTGAGTATCAGAACTTTGGGTGAACATATTGCTACACTCGAGCAAGGCAACAGACCCCTTATGTTTTGAAATCCAGATGTTGCTGTCCACGTATCGAGGTTCTATTTTTCTCAAACCTTGAGGCATCATTATCTCGCCAAACAATTCAGTGCTCATATCAAAGGACACAATGACAAGGTCCTTCCCTCTTTGTACACGAGGTCGAACCCAATGCAGCGCATCATTGACAACAGCCCAGTAAGAGAAAGGCCATGTAGCAGTGCCAAACCCAAAATATGTAGGAGCTGACGCGGTGAGGGTTTTCCAGGAGCCCCTGGCTAAGGAGTAAATCTCAACCGCAACTTGGGTTGAAAGATTACTCACACATCTCAAAACCTTATAGTCGTTGGTGTGAGAATCATAGCCAAAGTAGTGACGAACAATGTCATAATTGTTTAGATATGCAATAAAATTAGGCCTAGGCAACACCACATACCTTCTAATTGAAGGGTTCCAAATAAAGATGTCAGTCGCAGCTATGTCATCGTTGTTAGTAGAAGTAAGGCATATAACCCCGTTACAAGTTTGGACCATGTCGAAACCAGTGTCTTCGTTCAAAATTGGCGGATTCATAAGCTCGGTAATATAGTCAGCAGCACCACCAGGTAACTCAGGGTTATGGAAAAGGATATCCCCATAACACGACAACAAGTTAAACTTGGTGTGAGTTTCCAGCAGAAGAACTTGACAACCATCGACGATTTGGTGGTTGGATTGGAATGATAATTTGCGGCTGAGATGGGCGTCAATGAAGTTACATCTTTTGATCAGGCAACTCCATGACTTGCACACCGCAGTGCACATGATTAAAGATTTGGCCGGCAACCTCAGGAGGATTCCACGTACAATTTCTTCAGGAATGTAGGTGAGTTTCGACGAAGATGTGGAGTTCATCTCTCCGTAAGCAGATTCCCGGGATCAATGAGAAGAAGAGACTGGTTGTGTTTCAATTTTCTAAAATCTAGTTCTTATACGATATAGGCTGATGTACGGAAATACTGGTGCAAGAGAGTTGATAAAACTCTCATAGCCTTTTAATTTTAATTAATATCACGTTACGGAATCACAATTCTACTAGAAGTATATTGAAAATTATAATAATGGTTCGTTTGGTCTCTAGGATTGGATATCTTACTAAATTTAAAGTTTTTTTTTAATGGAAATTTGAGGTATTTTTTAAGGAATGTAGATGTAAATGATTTTTCACTTTGGGATTAAGAGGGTAAGTTAATGATCTTTCATTACTGGGCCGTTTGGATCGTGAAATTTGGGAGGAGGGATTTGGATTTGAGAGGTCCAAATTCAAATCATACAGTCTACGCTAATTTTTAGTAAATAAATTTGGCTTCACTATTTGATAGACCGAAATGTAAAGGATTTCCAATTGTTGTTGTAAAAATGGTGAATGAAGGAAACAGATTGGTAGAGAAGTTCTCTATATTTTATTGATATCAGAATATACAATATAACTACAGCTTTATACAAACTGAGAGAGTCTTATTCTAGGAAGGAAATAAAACAATTGAATGACATATATACAAGGAATCAATCAACGACCCTATAATATGGGCATATCAAATATGACTTGATTCTTTCCTTTAACACTCCCCCTCAAGTTGGAGTGTGGATATCCAAAACACCAACTTGCTGAGATGTGAACGGAAAACAGCTTGTCCCAATGGCTTTGTGAAAATGTCAGCAATCTGTTTTCCCAGTTTGTACGTATGTCGTCTTGATTTCTCCTCTTTGAATTCTTTCTCGTACAGTATGGCAATCAAGTTCAATATGTTTGGTACGTTCATGGTAAACTGGATTGGCTGCAATATGTATTGCCGCTTGGTTGTCGCAGTGCAACGTTGCCGGCTCAGAATGATCAATGCACAAGTCGCGTAGTAGATACCTCAGCCAAGTGAGTTCACATGTGATTGCTGCCATTGAGCGATACTCAACTTCAGCTGATGATCTGGAAACAGTAGTTTGTTTCTTCGTCTTCCAAGCTATAAGAGCATTACCAAGAAAAACACAGTAACCCGAGATGGACCTTCTCGTGGTGGGACATCTTGCCCAATCGGCATCACAATAACCCCGTAATATTAAACTGCCTTGTGAGGGAAAGAGCAACCCTTGACCCGGAGCTATCTTTAAGTATCGAAGAAGGCGATGCACTGCATCTAGGTGAGGCTTTCTTGTCTGTTGCATGAATTGGCTAAGAATGTGGACGGAATATGCAATTTCCGGTCTTGTGATTGTCAAATAGATTAATCTTCCAACCAATCTGCGATAATGTGTAGGATCCTTGAGAATGACACCATCTGTAGGCGTCAATTTCAAGTGCTGCTCCATTGGAAACATTGCGGGTTTTGCACCAAGTAATCCGGCCTCTTCAAGTATGTTAAGGGCATACTTGCGTTGACAAATAGAAATCCCATCTTTGGAGCGTGCAACTTCAACACCAAGGAAATATTTGAGTGGTCCAAGATCCTTGATGCGAAATTTTGTGTGAAGGAACCGTTTGAGGCAAACAATGGCATCTTCATTATTCCCTGTGATGATCATATCGTCAACATAAAGGAGTATAGCAGTGAAAGAATTATCACACACCTTGGTGAATAAAGAATAATCAGCCCGGGATTGGTGAAAGCCAATTTCTTGAATAGCATGAGAAAACTTGTGGAACCAACTGCGAGATGCTTGTTTAAGCCCATACAAGGACTTGTTGAGTCGACATACAACTCTCTCCCCCTGTCGACGAAATCCGGGAGGAGGCTGCATGTAGACTTCTTCCTGGAGATCACCATGAAGAAAAGCATTTTGCACATCAAGTTGATGCAAAGACCAATTGCGAATGGCAGCAACAGACAAAAGGCATCGCACAGTAATGAGTTTGGCAACAGGAGCAAAAGTCTCCTTGTAGTCAATTCCTTCACGTTGGGTAAATCCTTTGGCCACAAGACGCGCCTTGTAGTGTTCAACTGTACCATCGGAGTTATACTTGATTTTGAATACCCACCGACATCCAATGGCTCGGTGACCAGAAGGTAATGGCATTATGGTCCAAGTATTATTTGCAGCAAGAGCGTCAAGTTCAGTCTGCATAGCCTCAACCCATTTTGGATCCATACTAGCCTGTTCATAAGAAACTGGTTCTACCAAGTGGGATATGTTGGTCACAAAAGAACGATGAGCATTAGACAAGTGGGAGTAAGAAACGTACCGAGTCAATGGATAGCGGGTGCTGGACGTGGCAGAGGTGGCACTGGGGTCAAGCAAACTGGCGTGATAAACATGATAATCACGAAGCTTGATGTTGGGCTGAGGAACACGGTCAGAACGACGAAGCTGCAGCTCAGAAAGGGAGGTTGTGACAACCAGGATTTGGTTAGGTGACAATTGGGAATTGTCGGGAATGTTTATATCTGGGCTAACAACTGGAGATGGGTTGGAAAGATTAGAGTTATCAACTAGGGAAGAGGATGAGGTGTCATCTGGGCCAATAAGGTCATCTGGGCTATGAGAGATGTCTGGAGGTAGTGGTAAGACCCGGACTGGTTGTATCATCATCATAATTGACGGGTTGAGTCAAAAATGGAAAAACATGTTCATAAAATTTGACATCTCTGGAGGTGGAAAATTTCTTGGTTTCAAGATCAAAGACACGATAACCTTTTTGGCCAAGGGGATAACCAACAAAAATGCAACGCCTAGCTCGTTTATCAAATTTGTGAATGGGGTGTGTATTTGTGGCATAGCAAAGGCAACCAAAAACACGCATGTGCGTATAAGTAGGAGGGTTGTGATGAAGCATGACATATGGGGAGTTGTAAGAGAGGAGAGGTGTAGGTAATCTGTTTATGAGATAACATGCTGTTTGAATACTTTCTCCCCAAAAGGACAATGGTAAGTGAGCCTGGAATCTAAGAGCCCTCCCCACATTTAAAAGATGACGATGCTTGCGCTCAACAACCCCATTTTGTTGAGGCGTTGAGGGACAAGAATGTTGGAAGAATACGCCATTGTCATCAAAAAAATTTCGCATGGATATGAATTCTGCCCCATTGTTAGCACGCAAAGACTTAATGCGACAATTAAATTGGGTTTGCACCCAAGAAAACAAAGATTTCAACAATGACTGTGTTTCAGATTTAAAGCTCATAAGATGAATCCATGTAAAACGAGAATAATCGTCTACAATAGTTAAAAAATAATGCCCCCCCAGAGTGTGAAGTAACTCTGTGAGGTCCCCAAATGTCACAGTGGATCAAATCAAAAGGTGCTATGGATTTAATCAAACTAGAAGAAAAAGGTAAACGAGTCTGTTTGGCTAAGGGACAGACATCACAGTTATTGGAAAAATCAAAAACAACTTCAGGAATGCTTTTGGATAAAGCTTGGAGAGGGGCAGCAGATGGGTGTCCAAGACGTTGGTGCCAGAGGCTGGAATGACGGTTGACATGGTGTACTAGGTGTGGGTTCTGTTGGCGGGTGATGTAGTAGAGCCCTTTATGTTGCTTGCCCAGGCCAATCATCCTCTTCGTAGCCACGTCCTGCACAATACAAAAATTAGGGAAAAATGTCACCATACATCCCAAAGCTTGAGTGAGTTTGCTAACAGAAAAAAGATTGACTTGGAATTTTGGTACATGTAGAACACCATCAAGAACTAAATCCTTGGTCAATTTAACAGAACCAACCGATGTGATTTTAGCATGCCCACCATAAGGTAATTCAACAAAGTCATTTTGTGACGGAGTCATGGGATTTGAGGGCACGGAATGGGATATGTGATCCGTTGCCCCACTGTCTACTATCCAATACAGAGTAGAGTGAGAAGCATGTACTGTGTTATAGCATGTGGGGGTAACAATACCTGTGGCATTTGCAAAAGGTGGTGTATTACCATTCTCTTTCCGAAGCAGCGCCACAAGTTGAGTGTACTCTTCGGTGGTGAATGTAGGCTTCTCATTAGGAGTGGTAGTTGGTGCCTGAGTTGACTCCACAGGGCTTGCTTGAGTATTATGTGCAGCTGATTTCCTTCGGTTGGGTGGCTTCACATTTTTCCCATGTAGCTTATGGCCCACGGGAAAACCATGGAGAAAATAACAGCGATCGACGCTGTGTCGTTCTTGGTCACAGTAACTACACTTTAAGGGAGTCAGATTCCCTTGAGCTGCAGGTGAACGGCTGGGTTGAACAACCTTCATTGCATGATGACTAGTATTGTTGTCACGTCGTGCAGCTACTTCAACCTGTCGTTCTTGCTGGAGTATCAAGGCATGGACCTTGCGTGTATCAGGAAGGGGTTGCATCATCAAAATCTGTCCCCGGACGGCGGCGTAAGTCTCATTTAGTCCCATAAGAAACTGCATGACTCTTTCTTTCTCTTGTCGTGCAGCAACTTCCTTCAATCCTCCACACGTGCATGATAAAGTGTCATGGTAGGAAGACAACTCGTCCCAAAGTGCCTTCATCTTGGTGTAATAAGCCGAGACAGATTGCTGTCCCTGTCGATGTTCAACAATTTCTTGTTGGAGTTGGTAAATTCTGGAATCATTGCCCTGTGAAAACCTCTCTTTGAGGTCATTCCAAACTTCAGCCGCTGTTTCGGCATAGATCACGCTGCCGGTAATGTCCGGATGTACTGAATTCAAGATCCACGACAATACCATGTCGTTGCATCGTTGCCAAATAGAGTGTTTCGCATCTGTAGATGCTGGGGCTTTGAAAGACCCATCGACAAAGCCGATCTTATTCTTTGCGCTAAGATTGAGACGCATAGATCGACTCCATTGGCCATAGTTGTATCCTTCAAGAAGCCTGGATACCAAAACAATTCTCGGGTGATCCGAGTGATGCAAGGTGAGTGGATCCGAAACATCAATTGATTTCTCTGTGGATCTTATTTCACCCATCTTGTGTTGTAGCGGAAGGTGTTTGGGTTTCTAGAGTCACCAGAATCGGTGCTCTGATACCATGTAAAAATGGTGAATGAAGGAAACAGATTGGTAGAAAAGTTCTCTATATTTTATTGATATCAAAATATACAATATAACTATACAAATTTATAAATAAACCCAATCCTAGACATGTATTTATAAAAAAACCCAAGCACTATTTAAACATAGAAACACACCCAAATCAACCCCAAAGTCAACTTTTTGGGTGTGTTTATAAATAGGTTTTGAGTGTGTGTAATGATGGGTTTTGGGTGTGTTTATAAAGTGTTTTGGGTGTTGGGTTTTTTTATAATTTCAACCTCCATTTGGGTGTTTTAGTGAAACTCCCATATAACTACAGCTTTATACAAACTGAGAGAGTCTTATTCTAGGAAGGAAATAAAACAATTGAATGACATATATACAAGGAATCAATCAACGACCCTATAATATGGGCATATCAAATATGACTTGATTCTTTCCTTTAACAGTTGTAAACCAAGATATTTGAGTGAATTTCACATTTGGGATGTACCTATCTCCTCTTTTCTCTATTTTAATGTGGTATAGATGTAGATCTATTTGTTATGATTTATGTGTAGATGGATTGAGTCTTGTTGTTTGAATTTTCATTTCTGGATACAATTTCTTTTCTGATCTGTTTGGTTGTTGAGAAAAAGTGGGAAAGTGGAAGGAAAATTTAGTAATTATAAATTTTGTAGTTTTTTATTTAGTTTGTATGTTCAATGATTGGAAATTGCAAGAAACAATTCTTTATACTATTGGAAGGAGAATCCACTGGTAGGCTTCTGAGATATGATCCTCCCACACCAAAATAACTCATATTGTGTTGGAAGGTTTACAACTTTTAAATATTGATTCAAAAACCTATTTTAGCATGACGTATTATACAAAAAAATCATATAGAGTCTATTTGTAGAGAAAAACTCAAAACTAGTCACTTGTCTTTTATTTATATAAATTTTAAAATTGGTTCTTAGAGTGTTAAAATTTTATAAGAACCAATTAGAAAAAACACATGGTTAGTTTTGAGTTTTTCACTCCAAACAGGTTTTATAAGGATTTTTGTATATTATATCATGCTAAAATAAGTTTATTAGTGAAATCCTCCATAACTTTCTCAAGACCAAACCTTCCTTCTCTTTACTGAAACCACCAACTGCAGGTAATTAATGAATCTTAGTTGATAGAGCTCTGTTAATTTGAAGTTAGGGTTTTTTGTTTCTTTATTTTTTTAGTACAAGTTAGACTTTTATATAGGCATCATAATTCCAAATTCTACCAAAATAAAAATGTAAAATAAAAACCAGGCATTAACCTATGGTTGTCATAAATTCATATATATGGTTGGGTCGCTCTCTCGTTTCTACGAGGAAAGAAAAGTCTTGACGGCTAGGGTTTCTTTCTTGTTTCCCACAGGAAGAGTCTTGGTCTTCTACGTGTTCCTTAAATAGTCTCTCCTAGTGCTCTCTGGATTGGTATCGGGTATTTGGATCATGTATTTTCCTCCTCGGTTTTGTATCGTGTCTGGCACATTTTGTTTTGAGACTTTGGTTCTTAGGTTTTGGTAGCGCCTCTCTCCATAGTACAGGTTTTTTGCTCTCCGTCGTTTCCAGATCGAACGCTGACTATTTTCTAGTTTTCGGTCCTGCTAAACTCATGCTCACGGATCATGAGAAGGGGGTGGTTGATAGGGGCTTCTATAGTACCCAATCTTTTTATGGGTTTTATTTATGGCCTTGTTGCAAAAATGCTAAGGCCACAGGTGGTCAATCGTGATGCTTTTATCAAGAATTTCTCCAGCCTATGGAAAGGTAAGGAGGATGTCTCGATTAAGGAAATGGCACATAATTGGTTTTGGGTTCCGTCTGTATGTGATCATGATCGCCGCCGAGTTCTTGATGTGGAACCATATGCCTATCGGAGATCCCTCGTCCTGCTGGTGGAGACCCCAAATAATGGCCCTATCCACACGATGCCATTACATTATGGGATCTTTTGGGTTCAATTGCATAGTATTTTGGGTTTTTGTATGACAGTAGTTGTTACTCAAGCTGTTGGGGCCACTTTAGGTGAGGTTGGACAATTGAGATGGGGATGATTGTGTGGGTTGTTTTATTCGTATCCAGGTTCGTTTTGATGTTGACTTTCCTTTAATAAGTCTAACATCGATTACTTTTCCCGAAACTGGAGAGAGATTGATAGAGTTCAAGTACAAATACCTTCCGGAGTATTGTTTTGCTTGTGGTAAACTTGGTCACTCACTAGTTTCGCTGATCATTGTCAGTGTCGAGCAAGGTGGTGTGGCAAGCGTCGGTTGTGTATTGATGGTTCTACTGGACAGGCGGAGGAGACCAGCCTTGAGGGGTCTCCCAAGTCTCAATGTTAGTATTTAGTTTGAACATTTGTGAGGTTGGCAACCAATGAACGTTCCGTGACCTAAAGAATTTTCTTCAAGATAAGAGGCCAAACTTGATCTTTCTTGTAGAGACCCTTATGACTATGGTTCAGATGAGAGGATTAGTCACGAGATTGGGTAGTGTGGTGGGGTTGTGTGTTCACCTTTTGATGGTTTATTTAGTGGTTTTTGTATGCTTTGGAAACAAGGTTTTAAGTGTTCAGTTGATTTCCTCTTCTATCGGGCACATTGATGCGTGGATCACTTTTCCTACCTCTCAGGTTACTAGAGTGACTCGTTTCTACAATTATCTTGACCCCGGTCAGTGCCGACACTCATGGGAATTACTTCGGTGTCTAAGTTGTATCACTACGGCTTCGTGGTTGTGTTGTGGTGACTTTAATGAAGTTTCGTCGATTGATGAGAAGAATGGTAGCAGACCCGTTCTGAATCACAAATTGAGGATTTCAAATGTGTTGTTTTGGATTGCGAGTTATTATCTTTTGACTTTATGGGCCACCCTTTTATGTGGACGAATAATAGGAAGAATGAAACAATGCACAAGCGCGCCTTGATCAGGGTTTTAGAAATCTGTAGCTTCTGTCTTAGTGGGGTAACTTTACAATTCTTCATTTAGTGGTGTTTTCTTCTGATCATCACCCTTTTATTATTATCACAGATACTCAAGACTCCCAGGTTGGTTGAACCCTTAGGGGGCGACACCGTTTTCACTTTGAAGAGCTCTGGTCTAAGGATGAGGAATGTGGTGTGGTAATTAAAAATTCTTGGTCACCTTCGGCTACCCCTATCGCCTGCTGCACTAGGCAACTCTCATCCTGAAAACAGATGAAATTTGGTGATCTCAAATGTAAAGTTAAAGTGCTACACCAAGAGATTGGTTCCTTTCAAGCTGCTCCACCGACTAATGCTAATTTTCACAACAAAAAATTATTTGAATGTGAGTTGGATAAATTACTGGAACTTGATGAAATTTGCTAGCAAGAATGGTCTAGGGTAAGTTGGCTTCAATATAGGGACCGAAATACTTCTTATTTCCACAAAGTTGCGAATCACAGGGCTAAGACGAATTCTATGCATGGTATACTAGATGCCAAAAATTGCTTGCAGTACGATTATCAGAAGGTGGGTGGCATTTTTCTAGATTTCTATCACCAGCTTTTTTCTTCTGATCATGGTTCTAAGGAGATTGAAATTTTTGATGCTATGAAAAAACGTGTCCCTCAGATGACTCAACATGCACTAAACTTGGATTTGACAAGGGATGAAGTTGAGGCTGCCTTACAATCTATGGCTCCCACTAAATCTCTGGGTCTGGATGGGATGCTTGCTTTATTTTACCAGAAGTATTGGGATGTTGTGGGAAGTGATGTTTGTCAGCTTTTGAATGTTCTCAATGGTTGTGATAGTTGTTGGTCTGTAGCGAATCTCGTGGCCTGGTGCTCCGGGCCGAGGGGATGTGCGTCAACACGTGACGTCCTCCTTTTGGATGCGGTGCGGTTGTGCGCGGGTGTGCCAGCACGGTCTACCGTGCGTCAAGATGATGATGAGGTTCGGGTAGAAGATGGTTTAAATGTTGCGCCTGTTTTGCGTTCGACTCCTAATCAAACGATCGTGGCCGAGTGAGGAACGAATCTCGGCCGTCAGGTTCACGGCCTGTGCTACAAGGCTGTTTAGTGGTGATGTTGGTGGTGGGTTTTAGGCGGTGCTCCAGCGCGTTGCTCAGAGAGCGACGGTCGTATGATATATGGGGTGAGTGAGGCGATAACAGAGATGGTGCTCCGGTGCTTTTAAAATCAAGGGTCGTATGATATATTGATGAATGAATTTTTCTTACAGTCTACCACTACTCCTAGGAAAGCAAATAAAGGTATTGAAAGTGCATTACAGGAAAATATAATTTGCTCCGTGGGAGGCTTTTGGTTTTGGTGTTTGAACCATTTGAATGTAGTCCTGAGCTTAGTATTTATAGAAGTCCTGGAGGGACATTCGAGGCTGACAAGACCTGCGTGGTGGAGCCTGACCGGGGCAAGTGGGTAGTCAAATCGGCATTTGGAATCGTGAAGCATGGTGGTTTGGGGTTGAGAAGCATGGTGGTGTGACCCCCATAAATCTCGGCAAATCCCGGCCACCACCCTGATCGTGGGTTCTGCCCCCTTGGCCGTGGGAACGCATTTAATGCCCTGGTATGGTGGTTGGTGATCTGACCCTAAGTCGTAAGATTACTTGTGAGAATGTCTGCGCCTAACCACCCTGATTCCCATCACTAAATCCTGACTTCAGTCACTTCCCTCGTGCATTGAATGTTTCTTGTGACTAGTGGGTTTTGCTGTGAAGTCAGAGGCATTACTTCATTAAATGGAGCATGGGGCCCTGAGGCCACGTGGCGATTCAACCACAGCTTTTTCAAACCGTGTCTTTTACGGCCTTCGACCTCGGCCTTCAAAACTGTGGTTGCGAGGCCGAGGGGATTCTGCCTTTGCAACTTTTCTTTTGCTCTTAGGAGGGCGAAATGCTTGACGAAACGGTAGGCTCCAGGGCCGAAGAGAAGTCCCTCCAATCAGTTCATGGTTACGTCACCAACTCGAGTTATTGAATATCGTCCTATTAGTCTCTATAATGTGCTCTACAAAATTATTTCCAAGATGTGGCTAACAAACTCAAAAAGGCTTTGCCTCATGTGATTTTGAAATTCCATAGCGCTTTTCTTCCTGATAGTATGATATTGGATAATGTGTTAGCTAGTGTTTGAAACTATTCACTGTTTGAAAAGGAGGGGAAAAGCAAGAAGGCACAAGCTTATGTTGAAACTGGACATGACAAAAGCTTATGATCAGGTTGAATGGCCCTTTCTAGACCGCATAATGCGTATTATGGAGTTTCCTGCTCGCTTTGTCAATTTGATTATAGGTTGTATTACCACAGCCTCTTACTCACTGTTACTCCAAGGGCGCCCTTATGGTAAGATCATCCTGTCCAGAGGTCTATGCCAAGGGGATCCCATTTCGTCTTATCTTTTTCTTATTATAGTTGAAGGATTTTATACTCTTTTACAGCAAGCTGAGTTAAATTCTAAAATCAAGGGAGTTTCGATTGTTGCTTCAACACCTTCTTTAAATCATTTGTTTTTTTTTGCAGATGATAGTTTACAATTTTATGATGTTGAACCCCATCAAGTTACTGAGCTCAAGCGGATATTCCATATCTATAAGGAGGCTTCCGATCAACAAGTTAATTTGGAGAAATTAGCCCTATATTTTAGTCCTTCTACACCGTCTGCTACACAAGCCTAAATTTAAGCCATGTTGGGTGTTCCTATTGTCCCATGCGGTTAAAAATATTTGGGACTTCCTACAGTTGCTGGAAAAAATAAAAAACGGTTGTTTCGCATTCTTAAAGATCGTATCCGGAAGAAGATCACTGGATGAGAGGGGGGTTACTCTCGAAAGTTGGGAAGCAAGTTTTGATTAAGGCAGTCTTCCAAGCTACGCCTACTTACTCAATGAGTGTCTTCAGGCTCCTCATTGAGATCTACAATGAGGTTGAAAGTATTATTGCTCAGTTTTGGTGGTCTAAGGGTGCTAAGCAAGGGATTCATTGGAAAAACTGGAAAGCACTATGCCAACATAAGTCGAAAGGAGGGTTGGGTTTCCGGGAGTTAATCAGTTTTAACAAAGCTCTATTAGCAAAACAAGGTTGGTGTATGCTCCAATCTACTAATTACCTTATAGCTCGGATGTTGAAAGCTACATATTTCCCTACAACTGATTTCTTGAGTGCATAGGAGGGTTCGACTCCTTCCTATACTTGGCAATATATTCTATAGGGTAGAGAGTTTTTACTATGTGGTTTGCGATGACGGATTGGTGACAGTCGGTTGGTACAAATTTATGATGATGCATGGATTCCTCACAGCTGCATATTCACTGTTCAAACTGCTCATTGTGTCCCTATGGATACTAAGGTTAGCACCTTGATTTCGACAAGTGGGCGGTGAGATGTTCCAAAGGTTTATAGTTTATTTACTTTCATGAAAGTAGAGACTATCTAGTTTATACCTTTGGTCTGTGATAACGTCGATCGTAGAATTTGACACTTTACTACACATAAGCGATATACTGTGAAAAGTGGATATTGGGTTTCCTTAGAATATCAGAATCTTACTCTCAGTCATACTAGTGTTGATACTGGTTTTTCTCCATCACAAAAATTATGGAAGCATCTTTAAAAAATGAAAGTGCCAACGAAAATACAGCACTTTCTTTGGCGTTTCACTCAAAATTGCATCCCGACAAAAGCTATCCTTCTTCACCGTAAGATCACCATGGACGCGACCTATTTTTGTAGCTCCATTAGCTGCAAAACAGCGATTCATGCCATATGAGAGTACCCAACTATTCTTCTCGTCTGGGAGTCTTTGGAACTGCCTACAATTTTTCTTGGTTTGACTCTAGACGACGCTGCTACTTGGCTATTGGCGGCATGAGATTTAATCCCAACTGCCCAGCAACCTTTTTCTATGTTATGGCCATTGTGGAATGATCAGAATACTGTCCTTTTTGGTTCTAATCCAATGTATGGGGAGCATATCCTTTTTTTGTGCAAAAAACTATGTTGCAGGACATAATTAATCTCAGGTACTACTTCATAGGTGTATTTCTTTGCCAATTCCAGACCGACATTGGCATCCTCCTCAGGTTGGTTATCTTAAGCTCAATGTCAATGATGCTTTGGATTTGTTGGATGGTCTCCATAGTGTTCTTATAGGTGCAGTAGGGCACCTAGTCTCATGTCTGTGTTGGCTATCGAGATTTACGCTCTCAAAATTGGTCTCTCTTTTACCCTAAATGCATCTTTTATGCCCTTGGTAGTTGAATCTGACTCCCTAGCTACAGTGCAGTTGCTATTAAAGGAGGAAGAGTGTTTAGCTCTTAAGGTAGTGCTTGTGACTGAAATTCGACGTCTTCTCCTGGTGTTGTCCTCTTGTGTTCGCTTTGTCCCTAGGACTGCCAACATTTTGGCTCATTGTATTGCATATTATTGTCTTTGTGCGGAGGAGCTTTGTTTTTGGTTGGGTAATGGACCTCCCTGGCTCCTAGATGGCGTTAAGGAGGATTGGTCTCTCATTATCTGACTTTGTAATAAGGGTGTTCACTCTTCTGTTTAGTCATTAGCATGAGTGGTGCTCTTTCCTACCCCGAGGTTTTATTCCTTGTGGTTTTCCCCTGGAAGGCTTTAACGAGGCCACTGTTAACATGCTCGTTCTTATCATGTAATGTTCTCTTTGGGTTGAATGCAATACCATTTTCTCTGAAAAAAGGATGAGGAGAAATTAGTGGACGCAGATATAGCTAGTTGGTAAGTCTAGCATTTTTTTTATTTTTTTTGGGTATGAATGGTAAGCCTAGCATTATGTGCTTATAAGGGGAGAACTTTGGGCTTTGGTGTAACTTTTTAGGCCCCAAATATACCAACTAGTTATTGGTTCAATGGTATGTTTCTTTCCAATATTCGAAGATGTCCTAAGTTCAACTCCCCCTCTTCACTTTTTATTTTAAAAAAACCCTAAATTTATTGTAGTGGTAAAATAGTAAGATTGCAAAATTAAACAAAAGTCTCAAGGCCCCGTTTGGCTCATGGAACGGATTTGAGGGGAAATCATTTCCCATGTCATTTCCCAATGGATTGGGAAATGGAAGATTCCTTTTCCACGTTTGGTAATACTGGGAAAATAATCGGGAGATATCACTTTATTTCCTTTCCCATGTTTATTTTGCGTAGGAATGGAAAACAAAATTTATATAATTTTCTAATTATATTCATATTAATAATTCTAAATTGTTAATGGGGACAAAATGGTCATGAAAAATGTGCATATAATGTTGGCTCATTTTCCTAAGTTGGGAGGAAGGCTTCACTTTCCGCCTACTTTCCCATGTGTCAGGCAACCATTTCTCATGCCTAAACTTACTAAACATGCAAAAACAATTGATTTCCCATTCCCAAGCCTTATTTCTTATGAACCAAACAGGGCCCAAGTTTCCTAAGTCGCAATGGTTAAGTAATGCAGCTAGAGGAAGAGACGCTCCATTTTTTAACACATTCATGTCTCCCTACTTCCCTTCTTTCTGGATAATATAACATAATCGTTATTCTTTGGCTCCAAAATTCAAATACTCCCTTCAAGTGCATGGATCCTCACAACAACTTTTACTAATATAATATTCAGGCATTTGACATTTTAGCCCACCCGAAGCATCAAGTCCTACAGCAACCCCAACAAACAATTATTGTTGTGTCCAAATGAGCCCATTAAACAGCCTTGAGTTCTGTCATGTGAACAAGGACCCATTAAGCAACCTTAAGTCCCTATTCACATGACCAAACTGAGTATTTTGGATAATGGCTTTTGCGAGTGAATTAGGTCATATTTGGTGTTAGAATTGAAGTGAATTGAATAACTCACTAGATTCAGTGTATGCTGAATGAAGAATTGGAAGTCCACTTTCTAACTTTTGTCCAATTTGAAGGGGTATTAGATGGATTAGTCATGAAGGAAATTAACTTTTTTCGCTCTAACCCTAGAACCCCTCCCTCAAAAAACTTCTTAGTGCCACACAAGCTCTTGGAGGGGGGCGGGTGGAGGTTATTGTTCCTCCTCCCCGCTCCTCCATTTCTTTCCATCTATTCTCTTCCTTCTATGTCTCTTAATCCCCTATTCTCCTCTATGAGAGTTTCCTCTCCCCTTATAAGAGTTTTATTTTATTGTTCTTGTTTGTTCATGGTTGTTTGCTTTTCCAAAATTTGGCCCATATCTCCTTCTTGATTCCATCTGCATCTCCTATCTCACTTCACTTCAGCCATCACACCTCTCTCACATCATGTCATTCCTCTCTCCCTCCCATGAGATCTAAAACCCTAAGAACCTCCACTCCCTATGATTTTCTTGGTCATCTCCTAGCTTGTTGCAGCTTCTTCTCCTATACAACTCATCCTCATATATGAGCTTTTTCCATGGAAGTGTGGGCTTTGTAACTTATGGATCAATTTTGATCCCCACTTTGATCACTTGAGTATGATGACTATTGGTGGCTTGCTCCCCAAAACCCATGCTCTCCATATCCCATTTGTTAGTTCATTCAGACCTTCTTCTTATGATGGCAACGGCGACATATCAGGTGGCGATGTTGACAACTTATTGTTTGTAGGATATGATTCTATGATTTCTCTATATTTTGTACTTGGAGTTGGGCTTTTTTTTTGTTTTTGTTTTTTTTGTTTTTTTTTGTTTTTTTGTTGAGCCCTTATTTTTCTTTTTCAAACTTTGTATTGGGCGTTTCAATCCTTCCACAAAAAATAAAAACAGTCATAAAGGAAATTTATCGCATCCAAACCCAGAAAATACTAGGATATCAACGTCTTATAACTTAGGGCCCTTTTGGTTCGCAGATTAAACTTCCTAGGAATGAACTTCCCATAACTAATCCCACGAGATGGGAATGAAGGATGTTCATTCCCTTGTTTGGGAAAGTTGGGAAATGAAGACCATGAAAGACCATTTTCTCCCATTTTCATGTTTGGTTTGTGCAGTATTAGGAATGACAAATTATTTAGTTTTCCAACAATACCCTTGAATTTTTTAGTAAAAATTATTAATACTTTAAACAAATTGGTGTAATGCACAACTAAAAAACTGTGAAAATTGGAAGCTGCAGCCATGGAAAAGAAAAAGAAAAGTTGTGGGATGAATAGAAATACGTATACATAGTGAAGCTATTGGAACAAAATAAACAATTTTTTTTTAAAAAGGAAGAAATATGAAGAGTTTTTTTAAGGGTAAAAAGTGGTATTTGCAAATTATAACAGGGGTATATTAGTCCCAAAAACTTGCATTGAATGCTCTCCCAAGTGGGGGTGGGGAAGAATATCTCAAGTTCAGCCAAGGGTATGAACTTCCCCTTACATGGGAAGTCTATAATTGCATTCCCAATATTGCACTTATCAAACATGGGGATGCAATTTCAAACGCATTCCCAAACCCCTAAATAGGGATGGCAAAAATCCCCGCCGGGGCGGGTCCCCATCTAGTCCCTAACCATAACGAGGGGAGATTTCGGGGCCAAATGGGTATCGAGTACGGGGATCCCTGAACTTGAAAAATCCTCGATGGGTATGGGAAGGGGATGGTATTGGCGTCCCCATACCCGAACCCGACCCGAAAATTTATATGTTTATATTTAAATAAATAAATATATAACTAGCCTATTGGCATATGCTCACGCATGTGCCAATTGGTTTTATTTTTTATTTTTTATTTTATTTTTAGAATTAAGAAAAGATAACATGGGTAGTTATGTTCCATAAAAGTAGGAACTATTATTTGATTTTGTTTTTAATTTTAATTTTTTTAATATGAAAAAAAGTGAATTTACCATATTATCCTTATTTAATTAATAATTTCAATTCTTAATGTTTGAATTAATCAAGGGTATTTTCTGGTATTTTGAATGTTTCACCATTCTCTGAATTTTGCTTTATATATATAGATTATAATATTTATGTTTAACCCTAAGTTAACATCCCTCTCCTAATTCTTCCTAATCTTCTTTGAAATTTCATATTGAAGTGATTTTGAATAGTTGAGTTGAACTTTATAGTTAATTTGGATGTGTTGAATGATAAATTAATATGAAACTTAATGTTAAAATATATGATAAATTTTTTTTTATGTAAAAAAAAATCGGAGATTCGGGGCGGGTATGGGGAATAGTCCCCCGACGGGGACGGGGTTGGGGATTCCCCGAAACCTATTAAACGGGGATGGGTTCGGGGACGGGGGCGGGAATGGGGATGATATTGTCATACTCGGCCCCTACCCGACCTGTTGTGATCCCTACCCCTAAAACTTGAACCAAACAGCCCCTTAATTTCTAATGTCTTCAAAATGAAAAATCATTCAACTTCACCTTCATTTTTTACTTCAAGACGCTTTGAATCTTGTGACTTAGTCACCAAAGGATTTGGTTGATGTCATGAACATGTACATAAAAACGGGTATGTTATATCAAAATGGGTGCAAGGTAGAGCTTTGAAACGTTTGACAAGGATGGGTTGGATAATCATGTTGTTGAGAAATTGGGTTGGACACTGCTAATGGAATCACACACGATGACTAAAATTTAAAAACTATAACAACAATCGCCTAGTGTGATCTCGGGTCCAAGCACAATGACCAAAGTTTTAAAATGTTTCGGTGGCTAGAGAATATTTCTCTAAGTTTTAATTTAATTCTAAATTGCGAACATGGGTTTGTACCCCACTCTTTACCAAAGTTTGAATCCCTTCTCTGTTGTTTAAATTAAATTAAAGTATAATATCGTTTGTATAAAAAATAAAAATAAAAATTCTAAATATGGGTGCCCACAGAACAAACTGAAAATATTCAACACAGCAACAATATTTGGCGCCTTGGCAATGGGCTTCAGAAATTTTACTGGGCAATTAGTGTGGTTCTGGAATTTCTGACTATATCAAGGGTTATCTTTGGAATTTTCAGAGGACTAAACTAAAATTTTAAGCCTCATTGAAGTTTTCTATCTAATTAATGGCTCATTTAGGAATGATTTTATAAGTCCATAAAAGAATCACTATCAATTAATCACTTTAAGTGGTTTTAAGTAATTCTATGAAAAATCAGAGGGGATTCCCTAAAATCACTTAAAAGTAATTATATGGAGAATCACGCAAGAGGTGCTTGTTTCTCCCCAAGAGTGATTTTAGCATATTCAGAATCACTCCCAAACAAGTCCTAAGTTTTAAACAAACAAAATACACAAAAGTGTCTTAGCCTTTTTAACCAAAAATTTGCTTTTTAACATGAAAATTAGACTTGAATGTGCTTAGAAACTAAGACTATTAAAGAAAAGAAACAGAGAAAGGGAAGGTAGAACTACCAAAACAAAAAGAAAAGGTGGGGGGCTAACTTGAGTCCAATTCAACGAGAACAAGTTCCTAAACCCAATGGAAATGGAAATGCAAATGGCCTCGGCACTATGCTTGCACATAAAATTGGATAATCAACGGCAACATTTCATAATGTGAAATCATTATAACGGCAACATCCCAATAACATTTGATGTACTCAATTTCAACCTGAATGAATCCAAACATTCTTTTGGGCCTAGTATATTTAAGAGTAAATACAGCCTAGCTTCATAAACCCATCAGAGTATAACTTAAGTTCAGACACACAAGAAAACCTACCTCCTGACCTGGTTAAAAAAAATTAAAAAAAAAAAAAAAAAAAAAAAAAAAAAAAAAAAAAAAAAAAAAAAAAATCACAAAAGATCCTACTGACTGGCTCCGAGCCTCCTTGAGTTACATCCCTGTCATACCTTTCTTTCCACATATATCAAACTCATTTCATCTTTGTGTCCCTTATTCTATCAAGGAAGTACATACCTTCCCTGCACCCCAAAGAATTGTTGTGAGCTTTTTCTTATTAAAAGAATGTGGGGTCTGACCTTTTGTCTTAGATACATTGGAAAGAAAGGAAAACAATTTAATGAAACAGGAGGATGAGAGGGGATAGAAAATTTAAACCGACTGAGTTTCCCCGCACCAAAATCGAGTGTAGCTGCAGAATATGAAATTGTATCTGGCTCTCAAGATTGCACTGCCAACCTCTGAAGATGCTCAAAGAAAACTTGAAGGCTTACATCATCTGTGAAGATTACATCTGAACCCGCAGCCATGTCGTGGGCATTATTATATGTTGCCGACGGGTTCAACTTTGCTAACAAGAATCTTGCCTACAGATCATGACAATAGAAAATAAGACCAAATAGGTATCCCGAGAGAGAGAGAGAGAGAGAGAGAGAGAGGGTGGGGTGAAGTGATTCTTGGCCAATAGCAAAGATTTCACAATAAAAACTCAAACAAATTAATCCACCTTAATTAATTAAGTGAGATCAACAGTTAATCACTAGCAAAGGTTTACTACATGAGCATAGCACTAACATTTGAATAACTACTTTCTTCGCTTTGACCTTTTTGGTTAAAAAAAAGTCTAATAACAATCTTCAGACAAGAAACCTTTAAGAGCATCTCCAAAGGAGATGTCAAATACCAAACATCAAATTTAAATTTGATGGCTGATGTGGCAATTTGACATCTTACACAACTTTATACTCCACCCGATATGTCAAATTAAATTATTATTTTATTACATTTTAGTGTTGATTCATTTTTAATTAACAAGAAAATAAAAGAAAAAATAATAAAATATTCATTTGACATACGTCAAAAATAACATCTCAACCTCCAGCCTTCATTCCACATCAGCTTTGACATATCGGTTGGAGTGATGTGAGATGTTATTTCTAGTTGTTAAATGTCAATGTGGCATATTTGACACATCAGGAGATGTCAAATAGCAAATATCAAATTTAAATTTGATGGCTGATGTGGCAATTTGACAATTTGACATCTTACACAGTATTACACTCCACCCAATAAGTCAAATTAAATTATTATTTTATTACATTTTAGTGTTGATTCATTTTTAGTTAAAAAGAAAAGAAAAGAAATAATAATAAAATATTCATTTGACATCCTGCTTTTGGAATGTCAAAAATAACATCTCAACCTCCAGCCTTCATTCCACATCAGCTTTGGCACATCGGTTGGAGTAATATGAGATGTTATTTATAGATGTTAAATGTCTATGTGGCATGTTTAACACATTGGTTGGAGATGCTCTAATAGACTGTTAAAGTCAGTTTTGGAAATAATTGATTATAAAGACCTAAATGCACATAATTTACAACGATCCCAAAGAATGGCACCCATGCAAAAATAGGGGGCACGAACCTTGCAGCACATTAACAACTGTTACATTTTTCTCATGGCCCTCTCACACCAATAACAAGGTAAAGACCAAACCACCATTACTGGTTGACCATTACTTTTCATTTGTAACTTATAACAAATTTAAAATCGTGCCCAGACTCAAAATATTAACTCTGCAATTAGGGAAATAGGCAAATGAAAATAAGATATTAAGAATAGTTTAAAAACCTGCGAGCCATGCTGATCACACACCACCAATCTAGGAACAGGGAACCGGTCCCGAATGATCGACTGTGTATCATCATGAGGAGCTTGCAATAATTGTGCAAATGCCTGAAAACAAACATACATATATATATATATATATATATATATGAATATAAGTAGTTGAGACAATATCAGACATTGCACAACAGAAGTCAGGGGAATCACAAATAAAACATGCATACCTGGTGTTCTGGCTGATTCTGGTATCCCATGTTACGCCACTGTGCTATTGTCATTCCATGGAAAATGACTATACTAAAATACGAATCCAACAAGAGAATCCGGTCAGCTGCAATTGAAGCCACATCCAACAATGCAGGTTGTGGAAGAGAATTAAATGAATATGATATTAATGATGGTTGAATCATGACAGCCGCATTGGTGATATTTTCCTTATTTAACAACACGCGAAAATAGGCAGTCTCATCTGGACTGTTGTTGAAAACCTGCAAACAACCCATTTCGGATCCCAAAGAGGGGTAAAAGGTAATTTGTTAGCCACTAGTAAGCAAAATATATCAAGACAAAGGATGAAGAGGAAGGGGCAAATCGTGGTTACCTGCACAAATTGCGAACGCCTGAGATTAAACATAAATTGAGGGAATAATGAAAAACATGGATTTAAAGTAAAGGATGACGGATCATCTTTTCGATAGTCACCAAATTTGGAACAGAGACGAATGAGTCCCCGATCCAACCATCGTGTAGCATCGAAAGATTCCTGGATAAAACAAAGGAAAATACCTTTTTAGACTTCTATGTTTGAAAAGTTACAACAAAAATATCAATTAAGAATTCGTTGGTGAAGAACCAAGAAACACAAGTGATCTACAATATTCATAATAAAGAAGGGCATACCCATAAATTATGAGTTTTGTAAAACAGAATCAATGAAATTTAAGAGACACAATTAAAAAATTTAAAATATAGAGAAATCCTCTGATAAAATTTGAGGGCATAAATAACGATGTCCTTCATATAGGTCCCAAAATGTAGGATAATGAGTGCCATATAGGTCCAACTGTAGGATAGTGAGTGCCATACAGGTCCTAAATGTAGGATAGTGAGTGCACCAAACATTAAGCCTTCATTATTCCTGTTTTGGAAACTCCCAGTGTCATTTAGTCCAAAATTGAGAGATGTGAACATAAAAAAGAGGAAAAGAAGATGTAACAGACACGTACAAGATAAAAGAAGATGAGAATGGTTGTAAAATACCTCTGTCTCCATTTTCAAGGAGGTTTTTCTTGCCATTACTACAGCAGCAGTCTCTTGGTCAAATCCTTGAACCAATTCCTGTTAGGTCAAAATTCTTGTGTGTCAGTGATATCCTTTCAATCAATGCACTTCTGAAACATCTTAGAAGAAAATGTATCAATGAAACAAGGGTATATGAGCTAAAGGGGTCCAAATGGTATTGAAAACCAGCTCAGTAATTAATAAGAAATTACTGTTTTAAGAAAAATTGTGCCATAAGAAAACATATCACGCCGAAGAAAATAAGGCTCCTGTTTAATGGCCAAGTATTTCATAGCAGCGTTAACAAAAAAACATACAAACGACAATTCAACCACTCAATTGACCAATCAACGTGCCAGAGCATGGCAGCCACATAGGACACATACTGAACATGAACATGACACAGTTCCCTTTTGGCGATCTGAAACAAGCATTGGCAACAGGGAAGAACGAATGAACTAATAAATATTACTATTTATCCAAACATGTCTATTCATTCTTGTACCACGAAAAAAATAATCATGCTCCCGCCAATTTTTTTTAAATTTTCACACAACAGTGATGAAACCATATTATATAGTTATATAATACACTTATATTCTTTCTCTATTACCCAACTCTTATTTGAATCTACATAAAAGGAAATGCATAAAAAATAGTAAACAGGAAAAGTGAAAGATGCACAGTTCTGTCTTATTTGGTCATTTGGAGGAAGTGATGGAGGGAAAATTATCTCAAAAGAACTTTGCAGCTTCTATTCCTAAATTCATATCTTGCTAATGCAAGATACATGTGAAAAAACTTTGCAGCTTGTGTTCCACTAGGACATGCCCAGTAAGAAAGTACATGTGTGTGCCAGTGTGCATGTGTCACAGCACAATCATACAACATAAACAAGGAATGCCCAAGGGAAAAGGTAAATTCAAAAAATAAAGCTTCACCAGAACATGCTATTACAATGGCTATAGTTATTTACAAAAATATGTTCTGACAAAAGATGACATATAAACTGAAATGACCTCTGAGCTAACGGTGCTATCTATCCATCGTCTAGTAATTGTTGTTACTCGTAGCATCATTTGACCTTCAGGGTTTTGAAAACTGCAATGACAAAAGTGACCAACGAAACTCAAGTCACATTCCTAGTAGAAATAACAAAACACAATTTTTACCAAAGATCACCATAAAGATGTTTTCATCGCTCGTGATACAATCTTCATGCATACCTTGTAAGAAACTGCAAATATAATTGCGGATTTACAGCTCCTGGTGTATTTGACTGATCACTAGATGAAAGATCAAAGAAAACTGTCAAGCAAGTACTCTTGTCAAGGCCACACATTTTCCAAGCTGTTGTATTCCCCTCCCCTATAGCAGTATCGGCAACAGCAGGTCCTTTCTGCCAGGTTTGCAAAATTAACATCAAACTCCACAAACACAAGCCTTATCCAAATAAATTTCATTGATTGTAACTATAAAATTAATGTAGATAAAACGAAAGCTCTAAATGACCAAATTGCCTAACCTTCTCCAAAGATGTGCAGGGTCCAATGACGCCCTGAATTTTGATGTCCTTTGAACAGTTGATCTCAAGTGTACCACTGATACAAATAATTTTCAGTAATGAGATTGACATATATAATTAGAGTGTAAAGAGAATTCGTTAAAAGAAAAAGTCAAAGCATAAACAAGAGTTGGAACAGATACAAGGATTTTTTTTACATGTGTCAATGCACATGAACAAGGCATTGGATATTATAAATACCTAACCTAAGGGCTGACAATCTAACGGCTCTTAAAGCAATGGCAACCCCGTCATTGCATATCAAGCAGCCTTTCTTCGTAACGAAATTCAGACCCAGCATCATAAATACAGAAACCAACTGTGTGGCTCAAACTAGATTATGGTATTACAATGCTAATCACCACTCACTACCTTATGCACCTTCACTCATATGTCATATCTATGCTGGAGGTGTATCAGAAAAACTAAAAAGTTACAAGAATCACATTCAATACAACATGAGAACAATTCAAATTCAACTATATTGTTAGCATCACAACTTTTTAGTTGATTACCAAACAAATTATACGGAGCTCAAAATGTGAACAAAGAAACCTCAAATGGTTAATTATGAACTCACTTGAAACAAAGGCCAAGCGACTGTTCCCCTTCTTCAAAAACACGCTTGAAAGAGTCCTTGAATACAGAATGACCAAAACTTTCTGCCAGAACAACAAGTCCACCGGTTTTTTCAATGGCAACTTTCATTTCTGCAACCCCAACCTATACAATACAATACACTTGAGCCAATGCAAAACCAAACACAAACCAAGTGCATCAAGATTAAAACAAAGGAAAACTGATATCATTTTACAGCTTTGCATGTGATCATTAACATATTTAGACAGATAGCCAAAAATCAAGGTCATACCCCTATCACCCTTTTGTTCTCATGTAGGTTTCAGTTAATAGAGTACCTATATACAGTACGAATAATACTGTATTTTAGTTAGTAATTTCATATCGCCATGAGGAAGAAGGGCCACAGCTACATCCAAACTTTGAACTGTTTCAAATGTCCAATAAAACCTTTACCTGTCCGCTAGAGGACAACCAACCCAACAGATCACAATGTCCCAGCCTAACAAGCAGCATACGTGAGACCGTACCTCAAGTGACCTCTGATATTTTGACTACAAATTTGTCTATTACATGATAAGTTCAAGAACATATTTGCTTTATAGAAGGCATTACATTGTTTGTACTAAAAGAAAAACATATTTGCTCATTTGATTCTAACAATGAATCACAAACAGTTTGCTCATGCATCAGGCAAGTGAAAGACATTGAGAAATGCCAGTGTCCCATGAACCAACAGAAATCAAATACATCCAAACCAAATCAACCATGCTAACCAAGTGCAAACAGGAACATGAGCACTAGTTCATCTTTGGTTGGGGTTTAGTATCTATAACACAAATATTTGTTTAATTGCTGATCTCAACATGACAGCGCGGAACAGTCCAAAAATGCAGAAATAATAACTGAATCAAAAGACTGAACAAAACAGACCTGATCCAGTGCAGATGCAAACAGGTCTAAGACATGACCCTGGCTAACCAGCTGCTTCGCAAGACCATCATAAAATTTGATTGCTTTCTTAAAGTATGGTGCTGCATCCTTATCCAGATCTTTATGGGAACGGACTGGTTCTGATAAATCTTTGGATACAATCTGCATAATTTTCACAAAATCAATATCTTCTTATCCGGAATTTGGGAAAAATTACATCGCTTCCATTTATTTAATTAAGAGATCATAAGCATGTGATGGCCCATGTCCTTCAATATTACTACACACTCCATAATGCACAAAAATTGTAGATTTGCAAAGTAATTACTAATTAGAAAGACGTAAATTTTACAATTGCACATCATCCCAGAAAAGCAATCACCACAATTTAAAAGGTCATCTGAGAAAAGAGGTCGTGCATTTGGAAAGCAATTAAGACCAGCAAAAGAAAAACAATTTTGCATATCTGAATAATCAGGAGCATAGACATGCTAAACTGAGGCTGATCACAAATACCGTTAACTTTTGTAATGATAAACATTTAGATTAACACTTGCATGCAAGAACATCAATCTACAAAGCAAACAGAAAGCTAAGGTTTTTACCGCGCCAGGCCCTTCTGTGCATGGCCCCCCAACCAACGCTACAATGCGTGCCCCCGTTCCAGGCACACAAGCTCCAAGCAAACCGGCTGCAACGCTCAACGCCACTCCTGTGCACCGGGACGACCGATTTCCAGGTGGCACAGGCCACTGGTCGCTTTGCAATTCATCCAACAACTGAAAATTCAAAACAATTCAGACCGAATTATCAGAAATGAACAATTAATTTTAAAATTTAATAAAACCACTGACACAACGCAAGCCGATCCATTCAAGCCCCTACCGTATTAAGAGTGTATTCGCAGTCCGAAGCAGGCAACAAGAAACGGGTCACACCCGCATTAGGAAACCCATTTTGAACCCCCTTCGGCTGGTACCCTCCACCAACCGGACCAGGTCTCCGGCCCAAAACGCCGAGACCCAATTGCTCCAAAACCTGTTCTTTTGAAATCTCCTTACTCCCCCGAAAGACATACACTTTGGACAAATCAGAGAACCCCAATTCATGAACCTGAACTTGGGTCCCATACGACAAAAATCCAACAAGCGCATTATCGGGCAACAACCCAATTGCTCTCTTGAGCGCCGATTTGACATAACCCATCTCCTCCTCGATCATACACGTGTCGAGCACAAAGACGAAGACCGGTGATGGCAGAGATTGAGGGGCGACTGAATCGGCCGGCAGAGCATACTGGAGGGTTGTGTACTGAGGGTAGAGCTCGCCAGGGAGGTTGGTCTCGGAGATCGCGGCATAGTGAGGCGGGAAGTGATTACGCTGGTAGCAGAAAGGGCAGATCCAGATCTTGGCGGTGAAGTCGACGCGCGAGAAGGGGTTGAGGGCGGCAGAGCAGGTCTTGCAGCGCAGCGGCGCGTATGGGAGCGTGGGGATGTCGGGGTGGGCCCGGATCGGGGAGATGCAGGCGGCGAGTGGGATCACGCACTTGCTGGCCTCCACCTTAGTGCGTGGCCAAACGTTCCACGTCATCCGCACTCCGTCGATCCCCTCCGGGTCTGTGTTCGCCATCTCCGACATTTCTTATGAGTCTCAGCTCCTGAAAATACGAAGTTTTTTGGTGGGTTTTGGGGTTTGATCGGATTGGAATTGGAATTCGAAGCGTGCCTTTGTTTTTCTGATTTTTTTGGGTTTTTTTATTTTTTTTCTGGGGAGAGCGGAGGAGAGTGGAGAGAGGGGGCGACGACCCCTTGAGAAAGGAGACAGAAAAGGGGTCACCGCAATTCGCAAGGGAGAAAGAGAGAGAGAGAGGAGAGAAGAGAGACTCTGAATTGTCGGAAGAAATTGGAGGTTGGTTTGTTATGTTATGGAGTCTCTGTTTAAGAGATGGGTGGGTTTCAAAGGCGATGAATCTGAATCAGTAATGTTACAAATTTACCTGTGTAGGAGCGTGCCTGCCGTTTTTGTTTGGCCTCCTCAAAGGTACTAGGTAGGAAGAAATTTCATTCTCTATACTAGTTTTTACCCCTAGGCTAGTTTTAAAACGATCAAAACATTTGTTTTATTTAAAACAATTATTTTCTTTTTATTAATGATTTTTTACACATATTTTGAGTGATGGTTTTGCCCTTTCTACATAGAATTGGTTTTTTTATTTAGGACTTGCAGGAGTCCACAACCCAAGCAAAAGGACCCAGGCCTCCAAAAGTAGTTTCACCGTTCAATTCTTGCTCCGGCAAAAGATAGGGTCCACCGACCTGAGCAAGGCCCAAGGCAAGATGAGCTTGAGCTCCTTCTTGCTGGAGTTGACGTCAGCAAATACAAAAATCGAAAAAAAAAAATTTTAAATTACTAAAAATTCAAAAAAAAAATTATAGATACTTAGCAAATTTTTTATTTTTTAATCTCATACATATAAATAAAATTAATCACATATAAATAGTAATTGCCCTTGGGTAGCCATGGCAATAGGTGGAAAAGCACAAAAAATTTGCTACACAGTTACTATTCACGTGAACAGTAACTGCCCTTACCATGGCAAAAGGCAAAGGGAGGCAAGGGTTGTTACTATTCACATGAATAATGTCTGCCTTGGCAATTTTTTTGTTGGTTTTCCACCCATTGTCATGGCAACCACTATTCATATGAGATATGAATAGAGAAATTTGTATAGAGTTTTGGTGTGGTAAATTAAGAATACGGCTATGCGTTTATAAAATAAAAAATTTTGAGATTTTGCAATTTTGAAATTTTTTACAATTTTTTGTTATTTAAATTGGCTGCTTACATTACAATGACGTCAGCATTAAGTCATTTTGCCCAAGCAGCAGCCCATGCAAGTCTTGCCTAAGGCTTTGCCCAAGTCGGTGGAGCCCAACGCTTACCCTGGCAAGTCTTGGCAGTTGGAAACAGGATTGTGGGCCTAGGAGGCCTCTTGTCCAGGCTAGCCCCTCCTTCTGGAATTGCTCTAACATGCAAGGAACAAAGAACATAACAATTTAGGCATGTTTTGTGACATCCCGACCCAATTTTATCCATTGATTTAATCTATTTAATTTATTTAATTTATTAAGTTGTGAAATTACAATTTTGCCCTCGGAGTAAGGTCACGATAGTCACTTTTCGATCCAAAAGGATTTTTGGGATTTGAGTGGCATCGTTGTGTTAAGCTTATCGATACGAGTTTGTAGACACGTAGTGGGCTCAAATTGGGGTTTTAACGATAAAGTTATGGTCAACATAAGTGCAATTGCACAACCGTAAATATTCCAAAGTCAGATTTTAAAAAAAATTAGTCACTCTCTCTCTCTCTCTCTCTCTCCATCCCTTAGTGAAACAGGTCGACCACGTTTGGCCAACATCCAAGCTGCTCTAGCCACACCAGGTCGTGGGACCAGTCGGAAAACGACCAACACGAGCCGGCGAACGTGTCTGGGCTGAAGCCACGCCACCCCAGGCCGTCACATCACCACCACGAGCTCGGAAAAGGCCTGTTTTTCTTAGAACTTTCATACGCCGATTCCAGCGGCTTTGGCGATGGAATTCGTCAATCCATGTATGATTTCTCATCCTCTCAATGAGCTCTAGCTATCTGTCTAGGCGGTTTGGGTCAATTTTTGGTTTTTAAAGCTCGATCTAGAACCTAGGTTTTGACCATTTTCGGCTTGATTTTCCTGCAAGCTCCGGTCATTTTTTGACCGTGGCCCAAGAACAAAAGTTGATCCCCTAGTTGTCCTGATCATGTAGGTATAGGTATTGTCAGGTGTTTTAAGAATTTTCCGGTCGTCGAAATTTTCTCAAGACACCCATGCGCTGTCGGCACGTGGGGTGGCTCGTGGGCCATGGTGTGGTGGTCCATTTTGTCCTAAAATGTTCCTCATGTCATCTCGAGTATGACGGTATGCTTGAATTTGAATTTGGTTATCATTTGATGATCGAACGAATTTTACGCATATTAGGGGATACCCTGGTTTGATATGTTCGGACGTTTGGATCGAATCCATTTCCAAGTATGTTGTTCACCGTACCTCTAGGATCATGTAGGAACTACAGATTGAGAATCAGAGTCCCGGATACTCCGAATCAATTATTCCAAGGTTAGGTAAGCTGGTGACCGTCCGATCGTGCGATTGAGAGTTATTCGATTGCTCGATCAAGACCAAACTTTCAGGAAGTATTCAGTAGACCTTGTTGACCTCTAGGAACTTTCAAATTTGAACTGGAGGTCGTGGGCCCCGGGGGCCCTTGACAAAAATTGGAAACTTTGACCATGGGTCTTTTGAGACCGTCCCATCCTTTGGAAAGTACTAGAATAGCCTTATGATTTTTCTAAGGTGGTGGGTCCACATTAAGTTCCAGGAGCTAGGGTTTAAATTTTAAATGCTTGGTTGAGGCCGTATAATGAGTTTGGCTAGGTATTTGGACGTTTGTTTTAGTGTGCGTTACTCTCTGAACATTGGAAAGGTACATTATGAGTGCTTTAATTTTAAGACTATAATATTGTTTAATTGCGGTTTTCGGCTGTTATATTGATATAAAGGAAGCTTTGGGGATGGTGTGAATTGATGCATGATTTGATGTTGAATGATGATAATTCATGTGTGAATATGGAATTCAATTATGATTGTGGAAACCGAATCGGTTGGTATTTAATAGTTTGATTTAAGGTTATGAATGTGTGGGGTTTGGAATATATGTTTTTGATAGTTGTTGTCTATACTATAATATTTTGAGTTATGGAAGATATGGTTATGGGATTTATAGTGATTTCTTTTGTCAGTATTATTATTAAATTATTATTATTATTGTCATTACTACTATTATATATATGGGTTTGGGGTATCTTTGAATATTTGAAAATTGGATTTTGAGAATATTATTTTATATTATTATTATTAGTTTATTGAAAGATTGATATTGGCTAGATATTGGACAACATCATCTCACATCCATGTCCACCCCCCCACCCCCCCCCCCCCCCCCTCCTCCTCCTAGATACTAATATTGGAATTGATGGATAATGGATACTTGGAAACTGTGGTTATGGTTTGGATATGATCAGAACCTAGGCATCATTGACAGGGTGTCTCGTAGACCCTTAATAGGGTAGTCTGCGCGCGCAGGACTTGTCATAGGCACACGAGTATTGAGGATTCTACTGTGCGTGCTAGTAAGCCCAGCCCCCCGGTTGGATGACTCGTTCCCTAGCTACATGGTCAATTAAGGATTTTTCCATGTGGTCTAGCCAAACAATCCCCTGGTTGATTGTTTTCCCAGTACAAGATGTGCATGATGTGCACTATGATATGTGCCTCCCCAACACTTGGATACTTGGATATAGATACTCGGATATGAATACTTGGATATGTCGAAACCCAGGCACCCTTGGTGGGGTGTTTTGTAGCCCCTTAGTGGGGTAGTATGCGCCTATAGGACTTGTCATAGGTGCACGAGTATTGAAGATTCTGCTGTGCGTGCTGGTGAGCCCAGTCCCTCGGTTGGATGGCTCGTCCTTAGCCCCATAGTTGTTGAGGATTCCTCCATGTGGTCTAGTCAAATGATCCCCGGATTGGATTGTTTTCCCCTAGTACATGATGAGGGTGTGAGGTGTGTATACTTATATATATATATAGGTGCAGCCGCGAACTAAACTATTACTTTTGTAGGGCATTTCTATTTGTTTAATTTTCGTTGAACTTCATTTCAGTGATAAACTAAAGTCTTCCTTAGAATTGCTCTGTGATCGCCCATGTAGGGTTGGATTTAAGGCCAGAGGCCTATTATGTAAACTGTGTGCTTTTACTTTGTGCGTGCTGCCAGTTGAATTATTATTACCGTTTTTGGACAGGTTCAAATTTTTGGAAAAGTCTGTTTTTCAGGGGAGACTCTGCCGAAATTTTGGTAGAAAGTGTCGAGCCTCTTTTCCTTTGTTTTCAGATAAGAGGATGTTGTTAGTAAGTAGGCCCGACATCAGTTTGATGTCGGAAGAATCACAAGGTTCGTCACGAAATTTGAGGAATTCAGGGCGGGTGTCATGTTTACTTCTAAAGTCTCTGCATTTAGCATCGGTGATTTTATACTATTTAAAGAAATGTTAACCATTAGATTAATCTAATAAATTTTAGCCAATCCACATCAACATAATTATATTATACTAAAACACACCATTAGCACCTTATTGTATGTATTCAATGCCTTTGAAAAAAAAATTAAAAAATTAAAGTTAAATAGTGTCATCAAGCAACAACAATCTCTCTCCACAACAAAAAAAAAGCTTACATATCTCATGTTTCATACACCTTTCTCTCATCACATGAGAGAGATAGAGAGAAAGGCTTAGAAAATATGTTACATTGAAGTTTTACTCCGTCCCGACCATATCCCTACACAACGTTGCCAATTGATGTTGCCCCGTATTCTTTTTACACACACCTTCCTCACTAGTTAGTAAGATTTTCAATTCCAATACTAATTGCAAATTATTTTTCATTTATGAATTTGCTAGTTTAGTTTTGCACTACTTCTTACATGTTAAAGATCAGGATTTGATAATAAGAACATGGATGGCACATGGAGGAAGGAGGGAGAGAGAGAGAGAGAGAGAGAGAGAGAGAGAGAGAGAGAGAGAGAGAGAGAGAGAGCCATGGAATGCAAGGGACGTGAGTGAGGGTTGGGTCGACGAGGGGGTGGTTGATGCTTGTTGAGATAATTTTTTTAAAATTTTTTTATTTCATAGGTAAATTTTTGGGAGATTCACTATTATACCCAATATGGGGACCCAAATTATAAAAATACCCCATATGAAATGGACTTTATAAACACACCCAAAACCTATTTACAACATAACAAATAGGCTTTAACTTCTTATAAATTACAAAACTACCATAAATTTCTTAAAACAAGCCCAACCCCAAAATCTTATAAAAATACCCAAAACACTCAATAGGGCATTAAAGTAATTTAATAATCAATATTAAATTTAATAAGACCAGCTGTTATTTTTTGGGTTTTTTTTGGGTTTGTTTATAGAATTTCAATGGTGTAGGGTTTATTTATAATATTAGTGCTAAGAATGGGTATATCACTAAATATCTCTAAATTTTTTTAGTACAAGTCATAACTACATGGGAGGGGGTTTCTCACGCACATACACATAACTAAAATACCATGAGGGTTTGAACTTGAGATCTCTGGTCAACAAGTCAATGCCATTTTCCATTGGGCTAGACCTGTTGGCAAAAAAATTCAAAACTTATCATAGATAGTAGATACACATAATAAGGTGCAAAGAGATGCTGACGTGGACTGATTAAAATTCAATACTTTAATTCAATGGTTAATATTGCTTTAAATGCGTATAAATGCACCGATACTAAATGGAATCATACATATTTTTACTTGCTAGGAACATGCAAAATCATGAATCATGGAACTTAAGAATAAGGGAATAATGAATTGGAATCGGATCATACCCCTTAGTATTTTATTTTTTTTTTTTTTTTTTTTTTTTTTTTTTTGGTGGTGAAACAAGTTTGATTCGATAAGAATTAGGGAAGTTACAAGATAAAACAAACATAACTTAGCCCCAAAAGGGGGGTTCTTGCATCACAAAACCAAAAAAAAAGGAAAACACACACACACACACACAAAATGCAACACATCAAATGCAAGAGAGTGAGCAACGAAATTCCAGAACTTAAAAACCAACTCACTTGAAGACCTATGAGGAGGACCCATAGAAATTGCAACCCAGTGCTTCAAAAAGACCATGCCAGAAAACAAATTCCGAAACATCTTTGGATAGGAAACACATGTCAATGGCATTCTAAAAAATGTCACTGCATCTCCAAATCCACTCATGATCTCAAAGCACCCTTTGTTTGTATATCCATCCACATCTACTAGCTCCACATCTCCACAATAGATAGATCAAGATAGATCAAGTACCAACCTCCAAAATTTGCAAAAGTATAAAGCAGTAAGGGCAAGGCCGACAGATCTACCAGGACCCTCTCACATTCAACCCAAAAATAGCTTTTCAAAATTGATTTTTACGAAAGCATCGGTTCTCTTTAATGAAATTTTCAAAATACCAAAATTGTCCTTATTATTTTCTCAAAATGACCAATGTTGTCCTTTGCTAGACTATAACTGAAATTATGACTCTCGCCTAACTCACCTTCCTCTTCCTTGTCAATCTCTTTCCAAAATTTTCCCTATATGTGTTGCCTCCCAGCCATTTTTTTTATAAAGAAAATGGTATGACTATTCACAATCTCTTCCATTTATTCTAAAATTCACAATCTCTTCCATTTACAAGAAAAAGACAATGCAAGAAAAATTGAGGTGTCAAAGTTTTCTTCTTCCTTAAATATTCTCTGAAAATATAACTACTAGTAGATCCAGGACTACACAGTATAGCTTGTGAATGTAGTAGTCAAATAAAAGATTGGACGACAAGTAATAATGAATTTTCCAAAACATATTGATCCGGCTCAGTTCTCAAATGACCCAAGGATTCAAAGTGCAACCCACCCTTCATTGGCACCATTTTCTGGCTACTATGACTG